AATTGGAGATTTGGATCCAATGCTTTTTCCTGGCAGTACTGCCCAGATACAACTTTGTACGTCATTTTGTTGTTGTTCTTGTTTTTCTTGGTGTTTCTTTGTTTCTTTTTCTGTCTATGCCTCCTTTTGTTTTTTTTATATAGTATTGCCTGATCAGTAACAATCAGTGCTTTTTTGATCAATTTGAAGAATAAATGTAACAAATGTAACAAATCACTTGGTTTTCTTTCAGACTTCACCTTGTCATGTCTGTTACAAAAACAAGAAGTGGAAGAAAGAGATTATATCCTGTGGTCATGCTTTTCCAGTTTAGGAGCCAGCATTATCAGACTCCAACACACTTTTCCTTCCTCTGTTTCCTTTCTTTCCCAAATAGAAAAATAATAATTATCTGTTCAGTTCTAGTTCCTAACAGTGTAGATGACTCTCTTGTAGGCAATATGCTATCTGAAAGCTGCTGAAAGAGGATATTTACTCTTTCTCCCTGCCTTCCATCTCTTCCCAAGCTGAGAACTACATTCCTACAAATACCAGAGACAAAACAATTCAGACCAGGGTTAATTCCTTTATGCTTCAGATGAAAGTGTATCTCCAGAACTTGAATAGTATAGAACAATGTAAGTAACATTTCCCTCATTCAGCAGGAAGACTTATGGGGAAAGATAAATATTAATAAACAGAATTACACACACACTGCCTCTCTGTTGTCAGCTTTTTGGCTGAGCAAACAGCAGCAGTGCTTTCAGTGCAGGCAGCAGTAAATGACTGAAGTCACCCCAGAATGGAAGGCATAGCTATGTCTATATTTACAATTAGTGCAGCCTGGAAGTGAATTTTGTAGACTGGATCAGCTGATACTGTTTGCCTTCTGGGCTGAGTGAACGTAATGACTGCGCCCGTAGAAAGCACTTTATAGTTCAGTTACATCTAAAATCATTCCTTCACATGAACCCAAAGCATGCTTGCTTCTCATTCAAACTGAAAATGTGACAAAGCTATGTCCTCTATGTTGTCCCTGCATGCCCATTTCATGCCATGTAAGGTTTCATCAGCTCCCTGCTGTTTCTGCAGATGGCTGAGGTTGCTCACAGCCCAGGTTTCCTTTGCAAGACCTGGTCCCAGCTCCTGCCCTGAGCCACTGCTCAGCCACAGTTGGGCGCAGCTCTGGTCAAGTGGTAAGCTGGAACACTTTAAAAACAGGGTTAATTTTCAGATGTCTCAGTTCTTTTCCTCAGCCAATGGTGCACTGTACATCCACTTGAGAAGCAGAGCCAGATTTATGGAGGTAAAAAGTTTTGTTTTGTTTTGTTTTCTTACATCAGTAAATGAGGCTAAGATTGGCTTGAATTCCTTTGTGTGTGAATCCGCTCCTTAAGTAGATGCGCACATGGTGGCTCTGAAGATAAATAGGAACGCCCTGTAGTTACTTTTATTGTTGATTTGATTCAGCTACAGCTAGGGTTGAAAGAATTATTAAACAAGGCATAGCTCAAAGGTTTTACATGCTATTTGGACTGTTTCAAGCTCTCCCTAAACTCTCCAGACACAAAAAAATGCAGAGAACACAGAACTTAGAAGAACTTTTCCCAAGAGAAATAGGATCATGACCTTAATCTGAAAAATTTCCATGTTTCTCTTTCTCTTTTCTATATTTTTTTTTCCCCAAAAAAGTAATGATTTTCACTCACAAGGAATCTAAACAGAGTGCTGTCAAGGAATGGTGCAAACTCAAATAACAAAATGGTTACTTGAAAATATTACTTGTCCCATCTTTTTGCATACAACAGAGGCTGGTTTTTTTCTTTGTTTTGTTTAAATTTGTATTTCTTTCTCCTCAGTTGGCCTGAGGTCTGATAGATGAATTGCATCTGCCTGATTGTTAGGACTATTAAATACTAGTAATATTGAGATGACCTTTCTATGACTATTTAACTGCTTGCTGTGTATTAAGATACATTTTGCAGTTAAAAATTCCATCACTGCTTTAAGTATAGATTTTTTTATTAATATTATTTTTGAGGAAAAGTATGTTTAACATGTTTGCTTGGTTTGGTCTATTTTATTGATTGATGGATTTGTAATGCTGTGAAAAGTAATATGTTTGTGGACAGACAGGAGATTCTTATCATACAAAACACAGGAAATCTCAAATTGATTTTATCCCCAGGAGTAATATCTGGTGAACAATAGAAAACTGCCAGTATTGTTCTGATGCATTTCTTATTGTTGTAGGATTTTACAGTACACAGAGCTTTATTTATGTAACTAAATACCTAGGAAAAATGCCCTATGTGAAATAGTTGATTGTTAACTGAGAATCTACTGTTCGAGTCATTTTAGCTTTCTCCTTATGCCTCCAACAGTACTTACTTAAATACGTAGAAATGGAGAACTAGAAAATCTGTTTCAATAAAACAATAGTGAGACACTATTCTCTTTTCAGAGAAAGATTACTGTTAAGAAACCTTTGCAAGTTCCTCTGTCCTAAGAACGTTGCTGTCTTACTCAGAATATTGAAGTTTAACTGAATAGCAAAAATGTTTAAGTTCAGCACCTCAAATCTTCCAGAAAGCACACACAAATAACATGAAAATTTTCAGCTTCCCTGTGGACTAGGGTAGCTGTCCACTAGCTATATGCATATGCTAGAAATATAGTATCTGGTCTTAAACCATAATCAAAACTGATTATATTAAAAGCTACAGCATGTAGCTCAAGGAAATTATATCTACTGCTGTATGTCAGTACTAGACACAGTGTGTCAAACTTAATTTTTGTCCTTGTGTGCCTGGCACAAATCCAGGATCTTGTATATGCGTGTTGCTACCTTCCTAAAGAGAAAGTGAAGCTGCAGTGCTGTTTCTGAAATTTATCCCCACTGAGATGCATCGATAGAAGTATTATTTCTCCCAGTGGGCAGCAGGTTTATTGATAGTGGTTGCTCCAGACTGGCTGAAGTTTGTAGTTCTACTTTGTCTTGAAGTAAAAGACAAAATAAAGCAAAAACAAAACAAACTCCAACCAGCCAGGCCTCCCCCCCCCAGTAAACTAACAACAAGCTTTACCTCTTTCTCTGTCTCACCTTTATGTTTGCATGACCTGTATCAGTTTCTTACCCAAATACACATAGGACATATATCGTCCTTTCTTGTCCTATCTCTAAACCTATGATGTGAGGATGTGATTTTGTATCACTAGCCATGTGCCCATGTGTGTGTGAAAGACCTGTAGGTGCTGGGGCAGTGGCTGTGGCCCCAGCTTTGGCAGGGAGCAAATCCACAGCCTAAGCAACTGGTCTAGCTGCCTGATGTGGACTTGCTTGCAAAATCACCTTCTAATGACTTCTGTCAAGTATGCTAAAGTGTACCATTTTCCACACCTGGCATGGTAGGGTGGAAGGGAGTGAAAAATCAAACCTGCAGCAGCAAAGCAACAGCAGTAGAGCCTATGCACTTTCAAGATCAGTTTTTTTCAATAATGCTTTCTTTATTTTTACAATTGAGAGAGTGGACATATTTTTGTCTCCATGATTTTCTTTGTTCTGCTTTATTCAAGACACCCTTTCTTACTTCTTCATTCTCTTATCTAGACATCCCTGTCCCACCCTATCACATTACACAGTCTCACTTCTTTCCCACATAACTCCACTCCTGTTTCTCCTCTGCAAAAGAAGCAGTATTTTCAGCTAAATAATCCAGATGGCTAGAATTTGGGATTATGATTATGACTTCTTATCAGTCCCTCTGTAATTCTATCAACTGTTAATCCTACATATTAGTAGGCTGACTTTAAAAGCAGAATTTTGCACCCAAATTGACAGGCTTGGGAATTATAGAAGTAAAGATGATAAATTACATTTCTTCAGATGTACCTTCTGCCTTGTAAATGATGTTATTTTAATCCTCTGACAGTGGTATTTTTAGCAAACAGATCTGAGATACAAACACTCTGAGCTACTGTGTTCCTTGAAGTCGGGGGTGTTACTGTCTCTTTGGTAGAGCAAACGAGTCAGAGGCTGAATCAAAGGTTCTAAGCCATGGGAAAACATGGGAAGTGAAACTGAATCTCTGCTAAAAAGGCACCAGGATGTTCAATATTTAAAAATAGCTTTTAATGTCAAATCAGTTGTGGTTAGGACTGGGACTTCTTTGCTCCATATCAATCTACCAGATGTAGTCTGTGTGCTGTTCTGAAGCACAGGATTAAGGGGGATGGGGGAAATGCACTGTTGTTTCCACATGCCAGGTGGAGGTCCTACTTTATCTCTGGAAAGATTATTTTGGACTATCTCTTTGGAGAGCTTCCAAACATGGACGAACCATAAATATCTGCAGAAAGTTGGCCTTTGACTTTTTCTAGTATCCATCAAAACCAAAATATTTTTAATGCCATATTGAGTAGCTTTTGGATAGCATTTCCAGGATCAGCCGTTGAAGAGTGCCCAGAGGAGAGCCATGAAGATGACTGGAGGGCTGGAGCATCTCTCCTATGAACACAGGGTGAGGGAGATGGGGTTGATTAGTCTGGAGAACAGAAAGCTCTGAAGAGACCTCACTGCAGCCTTCCGTACTTGAGGGGAACTCATAAGCTGGAGGGGGACCGACTTTTTACATAGTCTGATAGTGACAAGACAAGAGGGAATGGCTTTAAACTAAAAGGGAGGAGATTTAGGTTAGATATAAGGAGGAAATCCTTTACTCACAGGGTGGTGAGGCACTGGCACAGCTGCGCAGAGAAGCTGTGGTGCCCCATCCCCGGAGGCACTCAAGGCCAGGTTGAATGGGGCCCTGGGCAGCTGAGCTGGGAATGGGTTTCCAACCACGATGGATTCATTCTGTACTATCAACAGAAATAACCTCATCTTCTCTTTGTTTTTAAAAGATCACACACTTAAACCGCAGAATAAGGAGAACGATGCTCAAGCGCTCCCTGACCTCCTCCAGCTTGTAACCGCGACCACGGCCTCGACTACCACCCGCCTCACAACATCCCGTCGCTACCTGCCAGAAAGCGGCGGTCGCCGGCTGCTTCCGCCCCATCGGAGCGCGCCGACAGCCCCGTCGCGTGGGGCTGAGCCTCGGCCACCCAGCGGCCACCGTCGCCCCCCCCTCGGCCCCGCCCCTCGCGGCCAATCACATGAGCGAGCGCGGGGGCCGCCGGGACGGGCGCTACCCGAGGCGCTCGGCGGAGACTCGACATGGCGGCGCGGGCCGCCTGCTGAGCGTTCGACCGGCTGCGGCCTCGGCAGGAGAAGCGGAGCTCGGCGGAACGAGGTGACGGGTCCTGCTTGGGCTCCCCGACGGCGGCGGCGATGGCACAGTGCGTGCAGTCGGTGCAGGAGTTCATCCAGGACTCGTTCGTGCCCTTGGTGGCCGCGTTGTGCAGCGAGGAGGCGGAGCGGCTGACCCGCAGGAACAACCTGAGCTTCGCCGAGCTGGTGAAGCCCTTCTGCCGCCTCACCTCGGAAGGTCGGTGCCGGCCGTGGGGGTGGGGAAGTCGCCGCCGCTCCCTTCCTCCCGCGGGGGCGAGGGGCAGGGCGGGGAGGAGCAGCCTTACTCCGGGGCTACCGGCGCGGGGCCCGGGCGTCCCGGGCTGGCCGGGTTGCCCTTTGGCTGGGCTGCTTCCATTTGTTGGGCTTTTTTTTTTTTTTCTTTTTGCTCTGTGTAACCTTGGAAGTCAGGCTGTTCTTGGAGGCATGGCAAAAGGCGGCAGGGTCGAGGGAAAAGGTATCTTTAAAGCGTGTTCGTCCGAGTTGCTGTCTGCCTTATGTTTGGAGAGGGTGCTCTGGCTGTGTGCCTTCTTGCTACCCAGCTTCGGAAAGCGTGGCTGGTCTTGCAGCTGAAGTCACAACCAGCATTCTGGAAGGAGTTTACACGGGTAGATAGTGGTAGGACAGGGGGAAACGGTTTAAAACTAAAGGGAGGGAGATTTAGAGTAGATGCTGGTGGGGAAGCTCTTTACTGAGAGAATGGTGAGATGCTGCTGGGATGGGTTACTCAGGGAGACTGTGGATGCCCTATCTCTAGAAGTGTTTAAGGCCAGGTTGGGTGGGCCCTGGGTAGTTAGTCTAGTATTTGATCTAGCAGCTGACAGCCCTGCCAAGAGGCAAGGGAGCTGGAACTTAATGACCCTTGGAGTCCTTTCCAACTCAAGCCATTCTATGATTCTTTCACCTCTTGTTTTGTCATATGTACTTCTTTGTTGATGCTCCTGTGAGTGGGGGCTGTGCAGGCAGAAGGGGAGAACTGAACTGGTTATATGTCATAGATAAAAACAGCTGTATAGAATTCCAGTAAAACTAGGAATTGACCGTTTCAAAGAAAAAGAATCAGGTTCTTTAATATGTAAAACAGGTATTAACTTAATCTAATCTATGCTTTTCAGTCCATTCTTTATCAGAAAAGAACTGCAGAACTGCTCGTCAGTGTAGCAGTGCGGTGGCTTTTGTCGTATTAGGTTTTTGGCAGACACTTAGCTCAGAGAGACTTCAGCTTTGTGTCTTGTGTTGAGAAAACAGAGCAAGAAGATGAGGCTTGTGCTGTCTCTGAAGCTAGGTGTTTTGTGTTGTTGTTTAAGTGAATAGCAACAACTTGAAAGCCAGTATATGTGAAAGTTTACCTTTATTTTCTGGCAAGCCTAGAAATCATAATAGTCATATTTGAGCATTACTTCACTATGATTTTTTTTGTCTTTTCATAATTTTTTTTTTTTTTTTTTTTAAGTAGGGAGCATATAAACAGAAATGGGAACAGCTGTTTATGAGGGTGGATAGTGATAGACAAGGGGGAGTGGTTTTAATCTGAGACAGGGGAGGTTTAGATTAGATATTAGGAGTAAGTTTTTCACACAGAGGGCGGTGATGCACTGGAACAGGTTGTCCAAGGAGGCTGTGGATGCCCCATCCTTGGAGGCATTCAAGGGATGTGGCTCTGGGCAGCCTGCTCTGGTGATTGGTGACCCTGCACATAGCAGGGGGTTGAAACCAGGTGATCATTGTGGTCCTTTTTAACCCAGGCCATTCTATGGTTCTATGATCTTAGCACTCCTGAGCTATGTGGAATGCAGCACAGATTAAATAAAAACAAGACCACAAAGGCAGAAGATCAGAGCCTTGAAGTTTTGAAGTTCCTAATATTATTAAACATCTGTTTTGGTTCCTTGATAAAAAGTAGAAGATAAAACGAGGCATACTGCTCAAAGTGAAGCAATCATTCTGAAGGACTTTCAGTTTTCTTGTTGCTCAGTTGTAACTATTTTTGTTCTGACTACTGTAGCAGTTAAGGAACTTTCAAATCTCATTCATCCACGGTATTTCGGTGTAAGTGTAGATCCCTATGCCATATCAGTGCCTATAAACTGAACCGTTGTTCCTCCTATTTTTACTCTCTAAGGAGTTGGTTATGGATAAAGTTTAAATTCCCTCCATGTGCTGTAAGACTTTGATCTTGTTAGTTGGTATACTGGTAATGCTTTTCTGTATTCCTCTGAAAGCTTGCGTAGGAAAGCTCTACTATTTAAATTTTATTAACTCATAACTTGATATTTCTGTGATAGGTATTCTGTAGGTTCTATAGAGTAGTTGTATAAACAAACAAACATGCTTGTTTTTATCTAAATCACTGTGATCCAGTTTTCATTTCTTAAGCACAGGTGTGAGATTGTCAGGAGGAACGTTTGGGAAAAGACATCCTTACTGTTCTCTCTAAGCTACCAAACTGATTGTGAAAAGTACCCTTCTGAAGGCCTGACCCAGGCTGGGAGGACTGATACGCTGAAGTGGTTGCAGTGAGGTTTGTGACCACCGTACTATATGTGCTGTCACAGTGTTCAGCACACTGCTGGCTGGATTGCAGTTACTCACTCCAAGTCTGCCTTTTTCTGCCAGCTTCATGGGAAATGCATTGCTGTGTGCAGTAAGCAGCTTCTCATGGTGGAAGCTGGTATGCATGTGAGGGTAGGCAGATTGGTAATAAGTACTTTTTCTTCAGACAGAGAACTAGTTAAGTGCAGTAAAATTGTTGTAGAGTTTGTACAGTAGTAAATAGTTTCACTTATCTTGCAAATACAAGGATGTAAGTGACAGGAAAGTGTGCCTGTTGCAGTCTGCACAATCACTGTTGTATGAATTCTGCTAACCGTATCCCATATATGAGATTCTGGTAAAGTTTTTTGTATTGCTATGTGATAGTAGGTTTGGCCAGCCATTAGCATTTTTCCATGGTGCTTTTCATTGCCAATTGAGAGAGAGGGAGGGAGGGAGAGAGGGAGGCAGAGGCAACGTATAGCATAGCAGATTGTGTGCATGTGCACCTGCCTCCAATGACTGTTTTACTATTTATGATTGTTTTGCTGACTTCAGTTTTGAGCACTAATTTTCTTAATAGGGAAGGAAATAGGGTGTAGTTTTCTTATTAGTACTTATTTCTTTACCTGGTGATGACTTCACTGAATTTGTAATATAAGCTTTTGTATTCATGCACGTCATTAGTGCACTGATGTTGGTTCTTGAACTCTTCTGTTAATTGAGAAGGTCCTTCACTGGTTTGCTTCTGTGTTCTTAGTTCAGTTACAGTATAGATTCTTCTCTGTAGTCTGGGGTTTCTGTAGTTTACCAAAGACTGCATGTTCATCAGTGCTCTCCCTTAGAGAAAGTCCTGCTCTATGTTCAGAATAGTTGTTCGTCAAAACAAAGCTGGACTTTCTGCTGTGCACTCGTTGCTCATTCTTCAAACATTAAGAGAGATGAAGGCACAGACTGCTGCTTGGCTCTTCAGGTGGTATTGAACCATTTGCTTCTTGCTGTTGCTGAGCCCAAGGAGATCTGCTAATTTCAAACAGAAGCCCACAAACATACAAGATAGATGCAGTGGCCCTCTGTGCTAAGTACTGGTCAGTACTAATTGACTGATGAACTTCTGCCCCTAAATGACTTGATGGGTTGCAAGGATATTTTTGGCTACATCAACATAAGCAAGTAATGATGTCAGGGAATCCTGAGTGCAAGTTAAGAGTGCTTCTAAGTGTAGTAGTATAGATGTTCATAATTAAACTACTCTTGTTATTGAATGATAAATAATTAAAAAATTACATATTGAGAGAGCAACTTCATTTTTCCAGTTAAATTTTGACTTCAGACAAAAACAAAATCCCAAGCTTTCTTTCTTGAAAGTAATAAAGGCTGTTACAAGGTGTATTGTAGATTTTATACCTTCATACTTATTCTCAAAGCAGCAGTATTTTTTTTTAACTGCCATGTTTGTTGGTGATGGTTGCTATTGAATTTAACAAACACATTTTGTGTAGGCAAGTTTTGTTTAACATAGCACCTTTTTTTTTTTTTTTTTTTTTTTTTATGGTGCTCTAAAAATGTTATGTGAATTAATGCTGTCTTGGTGGAAGTAGTAGTATGTAGCTGAAGGAACAGGTGTCCTTTCAAGATAGCTGTGGTTACTTTTTAGCCAAATCATTTTTTTGCCCTTGAAGTGTAAGGGGGGAACTTCTCATAGCTGTCTGATTCTAAGCTTTAAATAAGGAAGTGTAGGGGGAAGGCTGTTTATTTGGTGAGCTTAGTTTGATGTTAAAATTCTTTTAGTGAGCATTTTAGCCAGTGCTTGAGTTTTCTCGACTTCTGATAGGAAAGATATTCTAGTGCACATTATTACCTTGGACAAAAGATTATCTGAGATCTCATTATATATTTCCTTCAGTAGTCCACAATCTATTGTAATAGATTGTAATATTATAGATACAATATTGTAATAGATTTTTATTAGGGATTAAGGCAAGAATTCTGAATGTCCAGTTATGTTCTTCCTGGTAGTGCTTAGGGTTGCACGTATGCCAAAAGACTCATCTATATCTTGTATGTGCATTTCTGTGTTTCCCATGTTTATGGCTGTAGGAAGGACAGCAGGGATGAGCTTTCTTATAGCTACACTGGTAAAGACAAATTGGTCTCTTAGTTCTGTGTCCCTGCTGGTTCCTCTTGCTTTCAATCTTTTCAGCAATCATGTGGCTGTAGTGTTAGTAATTTGAGGATTAATAATTCATCTATCTGATATGATGGGGGAGGGGGAAGAGGAAAGTACAATTCTACAAATGGAGCTTTGCGTTTACAAATTATATGAAGCTCAATTATTGCTTCTGGTAAAATGTAGTGCTATCTGTAAGATAGAGGAGAGATTGCAGCCTGGTCATTTTTCTAGAAGGAATGAATAAGCTAGACCTTAAACTGGAAGGTGGACCAATACAGATAAGTGTAAAGACTAACTTTCTTGTGAAGGGTTTTCTTGCTTTTCAGGACACTGACAGGTCTTCTGATGCCCACTCCCATGCCCTCCGCTTACTAAACCAAATAAACAATAACTAAAAAAAGCAGACAAACAAACAAACAAAAAACAGGAAACCACAAAACAAAAGCAGGGACGTGGGGATTAAAAGTAATTTCATATTATTAGAGGAAGAAAGTGTGATCTCTACTTGTGATAGTTTAGCTTTTATTGTATGGAAAACAAAGGAAAGTACATACATGCATTTGTGTGCCATTTCAACATTAACCTTCTATGAAATATTCTTGTTTGATAATCAACTTTGTTGAACTTTTACTTGTCCTCTAGGCTTGGTACTAGAATTCAGATGCTTGTTTCCTGTGGATTTGGGACGATTTCTTTCACAATGTTCTCTGCCTGGTGGATTTCTTAGAGAAGTACCTCTTAAAAAGAGGACATCATTTTGGGGATAAGTAACACAAAGCCCAGGCAGCATAAACCATGGTGTGATGTTAACATAAGGCTCATTTTAATAGTGAATCCACTTATCTTTTGGAGTACTTTTATTGGCAAGCATCTACTTAATTTTCTCTAGACAGGCAGTCTCTCTGAACTAACTTAAACACTTGTCATTTGTTTGTGGTTCTTGCACAAATGTTGTATCTGTGGACGCTTTCCCTGTGCTGTTTTTGTGGCTGCATGCAGCAATCCACTGTTGCGTGCAGGCTTCTGTGTAATTTGGAAACCAATATTTAAAGTTCATATCATTTCCTTCTGGAAGGCTTCTGAACTAAGCTCTGCTTACCTTTTTCAGTTCGTCTAAATGAACTTGATGTTGAGCATTAAGTAACTTTTTCCTTCTCCCGAATCCCTACTTCATTCTTTGGCGCTTAGTTATTATGGACTGAGATATTAAATTGGTAGTGAAGTTCAATGGAGAAACCTTGAAGAAAGTTTGCTGGAGAAATGCTAATTTATGTTAACTATTGTAACAACTGTACTCTTTTTTTTTTTTTTTTTTTTTTTTTTTTTTAGTTTAAAATGAGAGATCCAAATAATCAGCTTCACGTAATTAAAAATCTGAAGATTGCTGTCAACAACATTATTACTCAGCCACCTCAGCATGGTGCCATTAGAAAGCTTCTGAATGATGTTGTGTCTATCAGTCAGCCTGCTGAAGGACTAGTAGCTAACGTAATCACAGCTGGAGATTATGATCTCAACATTAGCGGTAAGTAATGATGTTGTATTTTTCTGTAATTCAAATTAATTTGTACTGTAAGGTTTCTAATCTTGCTATCAAGTTTGTAGCATACATTAAAGTTGCTTTCAGAATTGATCAGTTTGATAATTGCAGCTTTCAGTATAAAAATTGACTCGGGTAGCTTTGTTTTTATACACTTCAAAAGAATAGTTGAATGCAATTAGTAATTCCTAGGTTAAATTTGTTTCCTGGTGTTGTAGTTCTTGAACTTCTGTTTAAAAAAAAAAAAAAGTTATGCTATAGAAAACGATCTCAATTTGGTTTTCTAATTAGCTTAACAGATTAGAGGATTTTTTTTTTTTTTTTTTTTTTTTTTGACAAATCTGCAATACTTACCTGTTACCTTGGGTTGGATGAATACCAACAAGGTTATTACTAATGTATGGGCTTACTTTGAAGTGAGACCTCCGGCTTATTTTGCTGGTCCCCTCCTGCTTAATGCTTACAGTTCATAAAGTCGTCATGAACAATTGATGGATAAAGAAGTTTTGAGGAAAAATGAGCAAATTTTTTGCCTCAATGTCAGAATGATCAGAAGAATGGTTTAGCAATGTTTTTTTTTTCCCTAATCTCCAAGGGTAAGACATAGTGAATAACAGCAATTGAGATCTGATCTTGAGAGCTGAGAAGATTAAACTCCTCCCAATTTAAATCCTAATCCATTAAAGCCTTTGAGTACATACTTAATTCAAAGCATGTATGCACTGCCCTATTTAAATATAAGTCATTTGCTGTACATAGTTTGGCTTACTTGTGCATAGTTAGGCGTGCAGTGAGGAAGTTGAGTCTGTTACAGGAAAAGACAGAGTTTTCATACTTTCTTTTTAACAGCAAATTCATGAAGATTAGTAGCTGATACTGTATTTTTTAATGTTGATAATGAAAAAATGCATAATTCTACAATTTCAATTCCTAATGTGAGAAGCTACATCTTCAACTTGATTTGATGTATCAATAGTAAGACTTGGCTCTGAAAACTCTCTTATTTTTGAGAGCTGTTTTCTAGTTTCCATGCCTCCTTATCTGAGAAGTTGGGTTATTTGCTTGCTGCTTTAATTTGAAAATCTTTGTCTGTTTGAGTTCTGGAGACTGGAAGACTCCCAGGAAAGCAAAATTGTTTTAGTGCAGGGAATGTGTCTTAATATTTCTGTTTAGCCTCGGTTTTAAAGCAGGGGGAGAGAATGATTGTGACTTTGTCATGCCATTCTTTGTAGTGTTGGAGGAAAATATCTTTCCGTTTGTTTTCCATATCACACCTGAGGCTCCAGTAAATAATTCTCACATATTGTCTCTCAATCGTTAGGTTCTTATTTCCATTCACAGAATCACCGAGGTTGGAAAAGATCTTCAAGATCATCCAGTCCAACCATCCACCTACCACCAATAGTTCTCACTAAACCATGTCCCTCAACACAAAATCCAGATGTTCCTTGAACACCTCCAGGGTCGGTGACTGCACCAGCTCTCTGGGAAGCCCATTCCAGTGCCTGACCACCCTCAGAAAAATTTTTCCTGATGTCCAGCCTAAATCTCCCCCGGCACAGCTTGAAGCAGGCAGCCAAACCTTTTAACTGTATTATCACAAGCTGAGAGATCTCAGAAATTGGTGCCTTAGTCCTACTAGAAAGGTACAATTGTATTTACATATAACTATTTCACATTGTGAAATGTGCAGAAGCCTGAAATGTTCATGACTTAAATTATCTGGAATTAAATGTCTGTCCCTGATGGTCCTGAATAGATTATATAGATAGATTCTTATATATAGATTTTTCTCCTTCATGCTACCAGAGCGTAAAAGCCAATAGCGTGTTTGAACCTGACCTATTTTAGTGTAATAATGCCATGTTTTTTCTATCAGATCGCTCAGTTAAAGCTAGTGTTCCTTGGTACAATAATTGGAAAGAGACTTTCATGGAACTGAACACATCCACGGTTTATTCAGGTATCTTTTGTGGTTGGTGCCAAATTGCCCTTTATATTCCTTTCTCTATGTGCTCCATCCACCTCTTCTTACCATCTTCTACAACTGTTTAGCACTTGCTGTAGATGTGTGTTCCTCCATTTTTTCCCTAAAATAAATGAATTTGAAGTGCTGGTGGTGGTTGATTAACTTTTCTCTAAACTGAATTTCTGCTGCTGTTAACCTAAATCATTTGGCCTTTCCATAGAGTCCTATGAGTGTGTAGTGGTGTGGCGAGGGAAGTGATTTGAAGCTGTAAAAGCACTGCCTTGTTTGGTCCTATGGAAATTTATACAGTCACTGTTCTGTATTTCAAACATGTTTTCCTGCTTCTCCATAGATTTTTTTTCTTTTTTTTCCCCCCCTCTTACTGGGTAGAGGTGCTTTGCAAACTGAAACTGAACTATGAACTGTACCAGAGCATATCTCTCTATGTTGACATTCTTTCTAGTGTAAGACTTCCTTTAAAAAACAAAAAGCTTTGTGGCACATCTGTAAGACTTGTTTCTACCAAAATGCATTGGCTATTGACCTCTGAACCTAAGCAAAGCTTGATGTTTTGATCTATAAAATGGCCAGATTTTGGTGTTTTTCAGTTTTAAATAGACGTAAGTCTTATGCCTTTGGTTAGTAATATCTATTGTTTCAAAAGTGTCTTATTGATGTGCTGCCGAATACTTTCTAAATGTGCTAGGATACTGGTATCCATCAAATTCATATTGTTTTGTGAAGTAACAAAAAAAAAAAAAAAAAAAAAAAAAAACAAAAAAAAAACCAAACAAAAAAACCCTTAAAAAACAAAAAAAAAAATGCTTCTTCTAATGAAGTAGACTTCTTAGTCTTAAGCTGGTATTTATGAACAGAAAGTACCTTTCTTTTGTTCTTAACAGGTCTGAACAAATTAGCAGGGTACTTAAATTTCAGCTCCTCTTGTTTAACCTCCTGTAAACATATACTGGAAAACTGAAAAGCATACAGACCTGTGTTCCTGAATGGCAGTGTTGCTGTGCGTTGCTGTAATGTTAAATAATACGAAGTTTTTCCTCTAATACTGTTTTTATTTTCAGTAGGGTGCATGTTTATTTAAATATCTTATATAAGTAGTTACAGCCCTGAGTGAATACTGTTTAAGTTTATTGTAGGTATGTTGAGGGAATTCAGTTACATTTATTAGGCTGAATTTGAAAGGGTGAGAAATAGATGTAGTGCATTCCTGTTTGTGGATCTGTCAGATTTCTTAAACTTCTGTGCTTGAATTCAACAAAAAGACTGAAATTAGAGCTTGAAATGAAAATGCAGTTAACTTTTGGATTAACTTAAAATATGAGTTGGAAAAGCTGCGGGTGCCCCATCTCTGAAGGCATTCAAGGCCAGGTTGGATGGGGCCCTGGGCAGCTCACGTGGTGGGTGGCAGCCCTGCCTATGGCATGGGGGTGAAACTGGCTGGGCTTTTAAGGTCTCTTCCAACCCAAGGAGTCCTGTGATACTTACATTCTATAATTTTTACCCTAATCACAGAATCATAGAATTGCTGAGGTTGGAAAAGACCTTAAAGATCATCAAGTTGAACCACAACCTGACCATACCACTGTAACTCTTAACAACCCACCACTAAATCATGTCCCTGAGCATCACATCCAAATGGTTTTTAAACATCCAGGGATGGTGATTCAATCACCTGGGGAGCCTATTCCAGTGTTTAACCACTCTTTCTGTAAAGAAGTTTTTCCCGATACCCAACCTAAACTTACCCTGGTGCAACTTGAGGCCATTTCCCCTCATCCTGTCTCCAGTGAGACCAATCCTGCTCTCGCTACAATCAAGTGTTTGAAAAGAGCAATAAGGTTTCCCCTCAGCCTCCTCTTCCCCAGACTAAAAACAGCCCCATTCCTCAGTCATTCCTCATAGGGCACATTTTCAAGCCCTTCACAAGCCTTGTTGCCCTTCTTTGGACCTGCTCCAGCACCTTGATGTCCTGTCTGTACCGAGGTGCCCAAAACTGAACACAGCACTCAAGGTGGGGCCTAGTTTAACTTTGTTTTTTTTGAACTCTCACTACAAGGCTTTATTATACTTCTGAAAAATATGTGTGAGTCACTTTCTCATGGCTTGTTTTAGTAACAAACTATTTTTCTTTATTCAAATACCTGGAAAAAAAAAAAGTGTATATATGTATATTTATGCACACATGAGAGGCTTAGTGAAACCGAAAGCTTTTCTTATACCGTAAATCAAAGAGCAATTAGTTAGAAAGATGATATGTCAGCACTAGAAATTTGCCTTCTATTGATTCACTTGTAATGTGAGATGTACTGAATAGTAGACTGGGTTCAGTTGTAAGATGTGAGTATATCTGATTCTTCTGTGCGTGACGCTGATATAAGATGGCTGGATAATATAAGGTGAAGTAAAAAGCATTAACTTAGTGCACTAGAAGATAATTGCAACATACAAATTGAATTCAGTTTTGTTGAAGTCTGCCAGAAAATTAAAGGTTTGGGAGGTGGCAGGAGGAGGTCAGTTTTAGAGAGTCTTTACCTGAGTTGAATTGAGGAATAGGTATTCTTGGTGCCCTATAAGGAAAACAAATACCTTCAGAAATTAATGTGTTTTTCTGTACCAGCTATTGTTTTCTAATTTGCAGGTAAGTTTACACTGAAAGTTTAGAATCCATTAAAAATTTAAAAATTTACTAGTTTATCTCTAGGGTCTTTTTTTTTTTTTTTTTTTTTGTAATCTTTCATTGTTAAGCCTCTTCTGTGTAGGCGAAGGAGATGCAGAGTTAAGATGACAGTAAAGCAATTCTGAAAGGAGCAAGTATTTCATGGCTGTATTGTTGTAGGAAGAATCAGACAAGTTTCTTAAGTTTATGTTCTTTGAATATCCCAGATATGCTTTGCTTCCCTTAAGCTGATATTCTTAAACATTAAAGTCTCTATTGTAAAAGGGTGTTTATACATGACCGGTTAATATAATAAGGCACCAATGGACAGCGTAGATCTGAACTGCTAGCTTTTTGGATTTCTGCTTGGTCAGCTGACAACTAAACTGTTGCTATTTATTTTAGCCAGGAGAATGGAAGAGGACTGCTGTCAAGCCAAGTCACAACACTTTCAAAAAGCTTCAGAAAAGCTGTCAGGATAGGGCTTTGGTAATTCTTGGTTCTTTTACACAGTTAATTTTTAACTTTGCTTCTCAGTTGTTAACATTCCTACAGTAGGCAAATACAATGATAGAAGAACTTTGTTTTGTTTTTTTTTTTTTTTTAAACTTTCCCAAGTCTCTGTTTTTGGAGGGTGGTAAGGAGTTCTTACACAAACTGAATAGGTGAGCCTAAATACTGAAGAAGTTGGTACTTAAGATGCTGTTCAGTTTCACAGGATTTGATTCAAAGAGTTAATTTTTCCTCCCAGTGTATATTTTGAAATTTCTTTTTCAGATTGTTCTCTTTCTTTATTTGCCATGCAAATTCTGACTGTTTGCAAGTTTTACTTTCAGGTGTAGTATTTCATGTTTCCTTTTTTATAAATGACTAAACTGAAATTTGGCTAAGTAATTACATTTAGTATTACTTTATTGTGTATTTCAGCTACTACTCCTTGGTTTGAGTCTTACAGAGAATGCTTTCTTCAGTCCATGCCTGCATCAGATCATGAGTTCCTAAACCACTATGTTGCGTGTATCCTTTAAGCGTTACACAAATCTGGCTGCAGTAATGCAGGAAACTTTGAAATTTTAGAATTGCTTTTTTGCCACAGTGCTTTGAAATATACCCTTTTTGATATGTCTGAGTATACGGGAAAATTTTGTTAAGAGTTTGGGGTTTTCTTTGTAATAAAATGCACACTTCTTTGTATGTCAAACTGAACTCTAAGCTTACTTACTCATCCTAGAATGCTTTCTGCTATAGCTATTTAGGTATCTGCTGGCTATACCTCAATCACAGCAAAGATCTATGTGCTTGGGATGTACCTGTGGCTTTTCATAGCATTGCTAGCAGATGGAGGGAGGGAGATTAGAAAGGGTATGACCAAAAAAAAAAAAAAACCAACAAAAAAAAACAACCAACAAAACAGACTTTCAGCTGTTTGAGGCAAAAAGAAGTCAGAAAAGATGCCTAAATGTGTTCATAGCATTTTCGTTACCATGACTTAAACCTGACTTGCTTGTCTGCAGGGAAAGTGAAAATATGCAGTGTTTTATGTTGTAGCTGCTGTTAAGCTTTACTTTAAGGATAATGCTGTGGTTTTCGGAACTCTTACTCTGTTTCTAATTAATGAGTAACTCATTACTATGAATCTACTAGGCTGTTTCACTGTGGTGGAATAGATATGTTGGTCGCGTTTGAGAGAATCTTATACAGAATTAATCTGGCAAAAAAAAAAAAAAAGATTCTGACCCTTGACTACTACATTGCACTAACAATTAGACTACAGGTTGCTTTCTGTCATCTTTGATTTAATGTCTTTAGTTTGGTGAACAGATGTGGCAGAGCAGGTTGTTCCTTATTAGTGATAATGGAGTTGCATTAAGGTAAAAATTGGAATGCATCTGCTTTTTATACAGCAGGTGTTGCTATCTTTATGAATGCTGGCTGTTATTATTGCTGAGGTGATACCTTAAGGAAGCTGCATTCTCTTTGAGCATTTGAAAATAAAGTGCACTGGAAGTGAACATCTTTTTTTTTGTACAACAAAACAGGTTTCATGTTTGATCTGGATCTGAAACATTACATAAAAGTATTAGCTGTTGTGTATCAGCTTAAACACGGATTCAGTTTCAAAACTGGAACAAAGTTGTTGTTTCAGTTAAAAATGTTGGCTAAACAACCATCTAAATACTGTTTCTATTGAAATTTAGAAGGAATTCAAGTTAAACGTGCTCTTATGGTAATGTGTTTCGTGGGCATAAGATAAACAGGATGTGTGCAATGTTTATTTTATACATTGCCTATTTTATCATCATTGGCTGTTCTTGAGTTTTTTGGGTTAATGACCTTAACATGAGTTCAGGTATGCTTGTAGTTTCTTCGAGTGAACCAGAGCCTGTGGAGCAATTTCTGAAGCTGTCGCAAGAACAACATCGTATTCAACATAGTAGTGAATACTCTTATCCGAAATGGTTTATACCAAACACACTCAAGTACTATGTGTTATTGCATGATGTAAGCTCAGGAGAAGAGCAAAGGTAGGTGGTCTGCCTTCAGATTTACTATTGAACTAAAATGTGTATGTTTATAAATTGCTGCTGGGATTAGACACGCAACGTTATCTGTTAACCTGTGTGCAGTTATCATGGCAGCCTTCAAGTAGTATTTTTTATCTATTTTTTGTTTTATATAAGATAAAAATAATTAGCTTTGGCTTCTTGAAGTAGAAGGTTTGTTTTCTGGCTTGTCGATTTAGTTCTCAGAGATTGTTGGTTTTATTCTTGTGCCAGGAACCAGTTTAAATACATAAATTTTTATTCTAAATTCTGTGGGTAAATAGTCTAGCGTAGCTTGTGGTAAACACTTCAAATGGAATTGGTTGAATGTCAAGACAGGCTATATGTTACTGTTTCTTTTTTCAGAGCTGACTCCATTTATGAAGAGATGAAGCAGAGGTATGGAACTCAGGGTTGCTATTTGCTGAAAATAAATTCTCGAGTATCTAACAGAGGAACAGATGAGCAGATACCAGACCCTTGGAGCCAGTATCTTCAGAAAAACTCCATTCAGAACCAGGTACTGCAGTGTTTCAAAAACAACTTATAATGTGAATACAAATGCCCATAGGATTGTTTCTTCTGGAAGGCAGGGGAGACCTTATAGCTCTCTGCAATGATCTGAAAGGAGGTTGTGGTGAGGTGGAGGTCGACCTCTTCTCCCACGTAACTAGAGACAGGATGAGAGGGAATAGCCTCAAGATGTGCCAGGGGAGATTCAGGTTGAATGGGAGAAAAAAATCTCTGAAAGCAGTCAGGTGCTGGAACAGAATGCCTCCCCTGGAGGTGTTCAGGAAACATTTAGGTGTTACGCTGAGAGACATGATATGATGTGGAAATATTGGTGGAGGTGGATGGCTGGACTGGGTGGTCTTAGAGGTCTTTTCCAACCTTCATGATTTTATGATTTTTAGTTCAGTTAAATTTTTCTTTAGTTTTATGTATATGTTTCCACAGAATAGGTTGTCAAGCTATGTAAAATTCAGATTTTTTTTTTTTTAACTTGTCCTTGGTGTGAGGATGTAAGGCAAGTCCTCTTCTAAAGAACTGTCCTCAGTGCACCTTAAAGTCACTACCTGACTTCAAGGAGAGACTACCTGAAATAACAGAATGAAAGGAAAATTGAAATAATTCCTGGGGTTGTTTGTGATGGATAGCAGAAGTGTCCATTCGTACCTTCATTTTGATTAATTTCTTCAGTTTCAAAATTCTTGTTTTTCCTGCTGTCCTGTAGTTTGCTACATGGTTCCTTTTATGGTTGTTTCTTGCAGTCAAATCTAGTCTCTCATTTTCAAGAGTGGCAAATGATAGTGTATGCTAGTTCAGATTATTTGTTTCTGTTTGCCATAAAAGTCTGTATTTTTAACTTCAAGACCAAAAATAATCCTTCTGAATTTTCCTTTTACTGGCTTGGCTTTCTAACTGTACACAACTAAAAAATGTGTGAATCATAGTTTCTTACCAAATCTAGCTGGTACTGTCAAAGCCGTACCACATTGTGTTGATTTTTTTATTTTTTATTTTTTTTTTTAAGCTTGTTCAGGAGTTGTTTTAAGGAACATATATTTACTGTTGTAGGCATGACTATGTAAGGGCTCCAGTCAGTTACTGAAGCTGCTTGCTTTAGTTGACAGTGTTGCTATTTTGAGCAAACCAGAAGATACTTGCTTTCTGTTGATTATATCTGTACAATAGTATGGGACCTTAAGGACTCAACAAACTGCTTCAGTGAATATAAATGAACATCTAGCTGAGTGTGCTTTCTTTTCTAGTGAACTTTAAGTTAACAGCTGCTACTTACTGATTTTTTTATTATTTTTTTTTTTTTTGAAGGATGTTCTCACATTCTTAGTCCTAACTTCTTTTTCCCTTCTGGTAGGATTGCTACGAAGACTGTCCTTATACTGTCATTTCAAACAAGAATACTGATCACTTAATATCAGATGGCTTAGATAATGAAATTAAAGGTATTTTTATAACTTCCTTCAAAACTTTACTGTGATAGCTTTTGTAAAGCTGCCTTGCATGCAATAGCAATCATTCTGAGTGGTGGTTGAGTTCGGATGTGCACTTAAGTGTAGTGGTACGTTACAAGAGTTAAACTGTTTGGAACTTCATGAGTAACTTTTTGAAAGTAATTTAATACATTAAGATAAGTGTTTGAAGTCTAGAAGCTTTGTCAAGGTATAGAATAAATGTAAGGTAGTTACTATTTTTTTTTTTTTTTTCTCTATTTTAGCTTATAGACTACAAACATTGCTTTGTATACTGTGATGTAAGTTGCATTTCCTTTTTTCTTTTTGAAGGAAAAGAAAGGCATGTGAAATGAAGGTTTTTAATAGGAATATAGAAGTGATTGGTTCCAGTGTGTCCTGTGTATCAATTGCTGCATTTCCATCTTCTTATGAATGCTTGACTTTGAATTTAATGCTTTCATTGTTTTCTTTGCAGGATTCTGAATAGTGAAAGCACTGAATGAACTGAATGTAATAAAAATGATGTTTAAAACTGCAAATGTGTAAGTCACAATATTTACGAGGGTTTTGATGTTTCAATCTTTTCATAGATGGCCTGTCAAACAACTTCAAGACTCATCCCCTTCAACTGGATCATCCCAGCAGCAGTTTGGATAGCACTGATTATGTGAAGGCTACGACGTCGTTGCAGGAATCAAAGAAATCAAACTCTGGAACGCCTCATGGTGCTTGTTTAACACTCACGGATCATGACCGAATCAGGCAGTTCATACAGGAATTCACATTCAGGGGACTTTTGCCACATATAGAGAAGACAATTCGGCAACTTAATGATCAGGTCAGCATTTAGTCTTGTAATCAAAAGCAACAGTAGTATAACTCCAGCTACCCAACAATCTCTTGTAATATTACTTCCTTGTGCACCTAATTATTCAATTATTTTAGTGAAAGCTGTAAGGAAATTGAAGAGATTCAAGTTTTTGTTTGGTTGGTTTACTTTAAAAACAAACAGCGCACCGCTGAAAAAAAAAAAACGCCTCTACCAACAGAACTTCATTGCAAGGTGGCTTATTGTGAAAGTCTGCCTGAGCTGTTGCAGGGTTATTTCTGTGTTTCTAAAATCTTTATTTCTGCTGGACTACTCTAGTATGAGGACCAAAATGTACTTTTCACTTCAACATTTGAACACACCAACAAAGCAGGGACGTGTTTCTCCATCAGTAATTGTCTCTAGAAAAGCTGCATGCTTTAACTTCCAAGAGAAATGCATGGACATCCTAAATCATGCAATTCTATTCAGGTATCACTAGCTGAGAATTAATTTCTCAAACTATGTTTTTCAGAACTGTGGTACCTTCGAGTCTTTCTTTGGAATTGTAGTATCTTAACTAATGCCATGCCTATGTTAAGGCAAGGACATGCATTAAAATTGTTCTCGTCACAGTAAGATCCTTTCTTTTGTAGGCATTTCACTTCTATTTGGTCTTAAAGGACTGGACCAATCGATTGACTTAAATTAGTACCATCAAATTACTGGATTTAGCAGTTGACTTGTAGGAAAATATCAGCCTGCTAACTGAAATCTCAGTTTTAAATGAGTTGTCTGGTTCTTCTATATTTTACACTGTGAAGCTTGTTGATACTACACAGCTGCTCCGGTTTGAGTTCTGGGATTTTGTTTATGCTGGCTGCTGTCTTACACTGTGGAAGTTTTAGGATGAAATAAAACATAGCAAATGGCCTTACGGGTAGGATTGTAGTAATATATTCCTAATAACTGTAGGAAAAACGTGATGTTAATGTTTAACTTTTTTTTTCATTTTTTTCCATACTTTTTAAAAGGGATGTAGCTTTATTAGACAAGGGAGTGGTAATTCCCTGTTTGCAGTGTGGTGGTAGGTACTTCACATGATGATGGGAATAATGTTCTCTATTGGTAGATATTTAGTGTTGATTTCAGATTAACCAATACCGAAATTTGATACTGTTAGATTCTAGCAAATACATCAAATCATTGCTTTTTTTTCTTGATTGAAATGTTGTAGAATCAAAGAATGGTTTGGGTTGGTAAGAGCCTTTAAGATCGTCTAGATTTGAAGTCATGTCTGAAGTTTACAGCAGCAATAGTGAGTTTCAGACAGCTGAGGTTCATTATGTATGTGAATTGCAGCTTCAATCTGTGTCTGATTCATTCACTCAATGTAGTGTGTTTTTTTTTCTGCTTTCTAAGGGGAAAAAAAAAAAAACACAATTTGGTAGGTTTTAATAAGGCTTGGGTTTGTAATTGAGCTTAACTTATGTTAATATTTCTTTTTGCCATGTAGTACTTGTAATTAATTGTCTCTTTGCAGCTAATATCCAGGAAAGGCTTAAGCCGATCATTGTTTTCTGCTACTAAAAAATGGTTTAGTGGAAGTAAGGTTCCAGAGAAAAGCATAAATGAACTGAAGAATACTTCTGGTTTGCTGTAAGTTGTTTCAGTCATTACCTTTAAATCCAAAAATGGGAATGCTTCTCTTTCTTCTGAGGGAAAGCCTGTAATAATGGTATTCTGCAAAGCAAACTGAAGCAGCAATACTGTAAAAGACTTGGAATGGTCAAGAAGTCAAGAAGTCATAAGTGTTATGCCTGCCTTTGAATGATAAAGGTGTAGCAAGAACTTAAGAGGGATAAGAGAAAATGTTTACTGAGCCATCTTCTATATTTATAATGAGCCTTTCTAAGGTACAAAGTACATATTTTTCAGATTAATACTAATAAATGGGATAATATGGCCTCCCGTAAGATATTTAAAAATCCGTATAAGTATTTTCTGTTGTTTAAGCCAAACACCATGTGATGAGTTGTTCGTGTGGTTATGTGACTTAACCCAGTGGAGTATTGAATACGTTACTTCTGCAGGTGCATTCTAGAGGTAAATTAAGGGGCATATCACACTTCATACAGCTGGTTTTACGCTAAATACATGTCTTAAATTTTGCTAAAGTATTTGTTGAGCCAAACTCAACGTTCCCGAAACTTGAATACAACTTTAAATTTATGTGCTTTGTCTTAAGGCTCACAAGCAAACTATTGTCAGTTTCAAAGACTGTAAAGTTTTATTCTTCCTCCTTTTACAGATTTCTTTAGCTCTAGCAGTTAATAATACTGAGCATTTTCAATGATAACTGCATACTTGTTTTAGAGTTTCATACAAAGGAATGATTTCTTTAAAAGTTAGTGGGATAGCAAATCTTGTTTCACTGCTTTCTTGCTGATTAACGAAGTAACCAGTTAACATGTCAGAAAGGAAGTACCTTTACTAGTCTTGATAAGTTACTTTTGGGTAACATTAATGTTACAATGCTGATCTTATTCCTTGTCTTTAAATAGAAATAAAGATGAGAATAGGGTATATCTTGCTTTCTTTGATGCAATTACAACTTCAAATTTAAATATTTGTATTCATAGGTATCCCCCAGAAGCACCAGAGCTTCAAATCCGGAAAATGGCAGACTTATGCTTTTTGGTGCAACACTATGAACTTGCATATAGCTGTTACCATACAGCAAAAAAGGACTTCTTAAATGATCAGGCAATGCTTTATGCAGCTGGAGCGTTGGTTGGTATTTCATATAACCTAAATGTATTTTCATACTAATCCCTATTATTTGTCTGAAAGTAACAAAGTGCAGTCCCTTCTGTCTACTGTCTATAAAGGTTTTGCTAAACTTGCTGTATCTTCAGCAAGCCTGAAGGTACTCTCAAAACTGATAGCTGCTATTTTATGATGGGAAAAATTGGAGATTTAATTCTTTAAAATGTGAAATACAGAAAGGAGACTATCTGTAATGCAAGCTCCAGGAAAAATAGATCGTATTCTTGAGTTATTAGACAAGAGGCAAGTTTAAGTGGGAAATAATTTTACAGCGCTTCTTTTTAGCAAAACATTGACTTCTTGACAAACACATCTCTCTAACTGGGGTAGTGTTCTTTTTTTTTTTTTTTTTTTATACTGTGTTTTGTGGGATGTTCTTTGAGTTCTGAGAAGCTGTTTTCTGGAACTTCAGCCTGATTAACTCAGATTTAAAATTTTACTTTGTAGATCTATGAAAGCATTCTTTTCACAGTCCTATTTTGAATTAAAACAGTAACATAGAGTGTATTTTTTACAGTACAAAGAGTTGCATTGCATTTTGCTAATCTCAGAAGTTATCTTAATTACTTAATTAATGGCTGATAGAGCTCTTGATAATTAGATTTTGAAACTTAAAATCTTTAACTGCTGTAGAAGAACTTTGCTATTATGTCCCCGTAAGAAAGGAGCTATTAGAGTAGAATAAAACTAAAATTTCCCTGGAAGCAGAAGAATGTAATGTCTTTTAAGAAAACTTGGATGATCCTAATTTTAAAAGAGATGTAATGTTATCAGAAAAATAATTCCTGCAATAGGAAATTGACTCTTGGTCTTACAAAGTAGTGTTTAATCATTGTTTCTTCATACTGTTGTGTGCTGTTGACTGAAAATCTTTTGTAAGTGCATAAGTTGTGCTGCTGTCTGATTAATTCCAAGCAGAGTCATAAATAGACTATTGCTTAAACCTTATATCAGCTATAAAAGTGTATGTGCTCTACACTGTGCTCTACACAGTGTATGTCAGCAATTGGTTAGATATGTTGAGTTAGTAGCTCTTGAAATGTTTCTCAGTATTTTGATATCTGCAATTTGTTGAAAACAACTGTGGTGACTGTGCTGACTTGTCTTTGTAGGAAATGGCAGCAGTATCAGCTTTTCTTCAGCCAGGAGCTCCTAGGCCTTATCCTGCTCATTATATGGAAACAGCAATTCAGACTTACCGAGATATCTGCAAGTACGTTGTTTATTTTTATATTAACCTAACGGAAGATGAAATTCCTGGCGGTTTAGCTTTCTTTCCCTGCACACTGGTAGTGCCAAATAAATCATATCATAAAATCATAGAATAGCTTGGGTTGGAAGGGAACTCGAGGGTCATCAAGCAAGGCTGCCAACCTCCATATCCTAATACTAAATCAGGCTGCCCAGAGCCCCATCCAACCTGGCTTTAAACACTTCCAAGGATGGGGCATCCACAAACTCTTTGGGCAGCCTGTTCCAGCACCTCACCACTCTCTTGGTAAAGAACTTCTCCCTCATATCCAGCATAAATCTTCCCTCTCTCAACTTAAAACAGTTTCACCTTGTCCTGCTGTTATCTAACCTTGAAGGATAGAAGTGAGCTGACTCACTTCCTGTTTATGGACTCCTTTTAGGTACTGAAAGGCTGCAATGAGGTCATCCCACAGCCTTCTCCAGGCTGAACAAGCCCAGCTCCCTAAACCTGTCTTCATAGAGGTGGTACTCCAGCCCTAAAAATAAATCAATCAATCAGAGGTCGATAACCTCTTTGAGTAAGATATGCTAGCTTATCTTGGAAGGAGATGTGTGGTGTTCTTAACGGAGTACTTATTAAACTTATTTCTCGTCTGATTTCTCTTTTGTCAGATCGTTTAGTTGGCTGGGTTATTTTACTTGGCTTTACTCTGTAAACGTAATGCATCCAAAAACACTTCCTGGCTTTGAACTGTAAAAAGAAATAAATGCCCTTCTTTTAGTAGGATGACGAACTTAATGGTACAAGTGTCAATATGTGTTTTGCAGGGGCAAAGTTTTTCATAGTTTCTTTTTGAGAAGTATTTATTAACATTGTTGTTTTCTGCTTCAGGAACATGGTTCTGGCTGAACGCTGTGTACTACTTAGTGCTGAAATCTTAAAAAGTCAGAGCAAGTATTCAGAAGCAGCTGCTCTTCTGATTCGTTTAACCAGCGAGGTAAAACACTAGCTTTTTCCACTTTTTTTCCCCACTCTTGTCTTCCTTCTACGCAAACGCTTCTTGGTGACATTTTAATTCTTGTTCCAGGATACTTGCTATCCAAGATAGCAAATGACCAGGTATAAATTGTTTAAGTAACAAAGCTAAAACTGCAGCTTAATTACTGTGAATCTTTAGAATTTTACTGTGTAGGTGAAAGTTAGCCCGAATGCTTCTGTAGTAGTGATTGGTTTAAAGTAAGTGTGGAAATAGCTCTGAATTGTCCACAAAGGGTCGTCTTATGTTACTACTGGTATTATGTTTGCATTTTTTTCAAGCATCTTCTGTATAGCTTGGAGGAAAGTCTTAACTGGTAGTTGATTCTGGCTTTGTAGCCAGCTGCACCAAGCGTGGTACTTGTGAGACTTTCCCCAGAATTTGTTAAGTTTGGAATAAATTTGCTTAATTCTGTAGGTTATTCTCTTGAGTGTCTTTGTAGCTGTATTTTGGCCCTTCCAACTTAAATTTGGTACCAAAATTTCTAGGTGAGCATATATGTTATTGAAGTAAGGAATTTAAATGCTGCAAGTTGTATGCAGCCATTTTACTACTTAAAATTTTATGTGGTATGCTTGCATTGCTGTTTGGCAGAAGCAAGGGAGATCTTTATAGGATTTTGTAAAGCTGTCTCTTGGTGTATTTGTAGTCCGGACATGTATTTGGAAGTTGTTAACAGTAGACTTAAGTAGATCAGTAGTGATAAGTAGATCCTGTTTGGATTGGTTAGAGTAATATAGCTTTGTCTTGGCATGAGAGGAGAAGGTGGTAATGGTAAGAAGTGTGTTTCCCTATAGGAAGGAATTCTTGTTCTTGTCGTCTAAATTCACTAAGTTACACTTAACGTTTTTTTCCTTAATCCTATTAAACTTACTGTTTGTTTCTAGTATCTGCAGAGGGAAGGGGAAAAGGTAGAATGCTTCAGATTTGGGTTAGAAACTGTGGCGTGAGTAACTGAAGAGGAAGAAAGTTTTGTCTTGCCACTCATAAAGAAGCAGGTTGATAAATCTCCTTTGGGGAAATAGTAGCACATCTGGTTATGACAATGATTGTACCTGTAACAAAGTGAAAAATACTTTTAGTCTTAATTTCTTTTATAAGCATACATACAATGTTCAAATGTAAAATGCTTCTCAATTTTATAGCAGTTACAGCTTTTCTTTTCCTGTTAACATTAGAACAAGACTACAGATATATTTATTTTTATATTTGACTTTGAGGTTAATTCTCTTTTTTTTCTTTTAAATAGGATTCAGATCTTCGTAGTGCGCTTCTGTTAGAACAGGCAGCACATTGCTTTATAAACATGAAAAGTCCCATGGTCAGAAAGTTTGCATTTCATATGATACTGGCTGGCCATAGGTTTAGTAAAGCAGGACAGGTGAGTATTATCTTTCCAGATGGATAATACCAATTTTTTTGTACTTGATCTGAATAGAATGTTATTATGGGAAAAGATGCTTAGCTTCTGGTGTTTTTGTTACAAGTATTGAGCTCAGTAATCATCTAAAAATGATTTCTGCATTAATCTTTTACATCTGTATTTAAAATGATGCTGAAAATCACTGACTTGAAACTTAGTGATGTGTTTTTGATTTCTGGGTTTCAACTTTATACCCGAATAAAAAAAATCTCATACTATATGAAGTAGAATCTCTACTCATGAAATGATTCAGTTGCAGAAATAAGGTTTTGCTAATCCTAATTATAATAAGAACCCTTATTCTAATAACAAAATTTAGCCTGTTTTCCTGGTGTCTTACCTATATGCAGTGGAGAGGTCAATGTGTATGAATAGTTAGTATGCAATAAACTGGCATCTAGTTACAGCTGCTTAGACTCAATTAACAATTAAACCAATGCAAATGGGTTTTACATTCACTCATATTACTGTGTACGCAGCTTTAACTCTGTGATAAACTGAATTTGAACATGTCTTACATGCTTTATATTTGTCTCAGTTGTGTAATGGCCTCTACAGACAACTTGTTTGATTTCTTTTGAGGTTAGTCACTAGAGTTCAGTTCTGAAGTTGTAATCTTGTTTTGCATGTACTGCAGGGCTGTTGCTTAACTTGCTGTGTGTTTTGTCTTATGTGTTTAGTCTTTTTTTGTAAGACAGCAGTTGAATGGAAATGTAAGTTCATTTAGTGAATGAAATGTATTAAATATAGCTAGGTCTTGAAGCTTGGCAGTAGAGCTCTGCAAACTCTAGCAGTCTATTCTAAAGCAACACAGAATGCTTTTTATAAGCGGTCTTCTCTTATTTGTTTTAACTTCCTGCCTGTTACTACTGTTTGAAAACATGAACTTTGTGCAAGGTAGGCACTGTACTGTAGGAGGCAACAGTACTTCTGTGCTTAAGTTAACATTGACCAGACACTGAGGTACAGTTCTGCAAACACTGTGCTTAGCATAGTGTGGTTGGTAAATACTTCTGATGTGCTGTTCAGTCCTCCTGACACTACAATTACAATGTTTGGTTAATAATTTTACTTTTTTTTTTTTTTCTTTTGCAGAAAAAGCATGCCTTACGTTGCTACTGCCAAGCCATGCAGGTTTACAAAGGAAAAGGCTGGTCTCTTGCAGAAGATCATATTAACTTCACTATTGGTCGTCAGTCATTTACACTTCATCAGCTTGATAACGCAGTGTCTGCCTTCAGGCATATTTTGATCAATGATAGTAAACAACCTCCAGCTCAGCAGGGAGCTTTTTTAAGAGAGTATCTCTATGTTTATAAGGTAATATTTTTTCTTTCAATTCCTGGAATGGTCAGCAATTCTGTTTACAGCAGTTCTGTATTATGTCATCAAATGATTTTCTGTCATACCTGCTTTGTGCCAGGGTCATATTTTTTCTCCAGTTGATATGGTTTTTTTTTTGTTTGTTTTTTGTTTTTTTTTTTTTTTTTTTTTTTTTTTTTTTTTTTTTAGATTTTAAAAAACAAACTTGCTGTATCTGATGTGTGCACTAAGTTCATTTCCACTGCAGTACTTGTGTGACTCCTATAATGTTCTTATTCAGTTAATGTTTCATTTTGAGGTTCATTGCTGAATTGCAACTTGTGACAGATCTTCCCTAGAGGAAAGGGGTCTGTTTTATTTTGATCTCTTTATAGAAGATTTAGGGTTTTTTTGATAGTATATCTTTGTTAAAGACTAGATAGATGTGTTACTTGCTGATGCCACTGATAAAATATTTGGTTTTGATTTTTGACAGATCTTGTGGTGCCTGTTTATCCCTTGTTCCTCCCGCATGTAGTTTTAAGCTTCACAACAGTAGCAGGTTTTCTGAATTATGAACTATCTTTCAATTATTTATTACTTAGCGTAATTCTGATTGGTGCTGAAAATTGGGAAAAGTGGTTGTTCTTAAAGCTGCTGCATTTTGATTATTTGCTTAAGGCAAATAATTTCTTATCTACTTTCTCAGTAGATAGGAAAAGCAATTCTTAGTTTTTTTTTTTTTTTTTTTTTTTTTTACAGGTAAACAAATTCATGGGCAGCAGTCTTGCTTTCTTTTTCCTCTAGAAGTGTAGTCTCAGCAGGAGGATGCCACCTTTTTAGTGCATTGATGTGAACTTGGGTGTTTTTTTTTGTTTTTTTTTGTTTTGTTTTGTTTTTTTTTTGATACCTTGAATTTTTACCTGGCAGGCTACAAAATTGTTGCAACTGCTAATAATAACAACCACCTATCCAAAGTACGGGTTTTGGTTACAGACACAGTTGTTTGTCCGTGAACATGCTTTATGGCAGCCCCTTACCAATTAAGCAGCAAGAGATTAGCATGAATATTGCTGTTTTTAAAAAACAAAACAAAACAAAAAACCTGAGTTGAATCCAGCCAACCTCCTCTGGTACTGCAAATTGCTCCCTATCCCTGTTGTAGTAAAATTAATCTATCTTAAACTTAAGTAAGTAATTGAATTAATGTGGAAGTTCATGGGTGATTCTACATTGCAGTGTATGCCATATGCCTTACACGGTATTTAGTAATGATAACTCTATGCAACTTGTAGCCTTGCAGCTACTTTCTTAAACCTTACAAATAGAATTTGTCATGTTTGCTAATTTGTGGTAGACCCTTCTTGAGATTAGCATTTAAAGCCCACAAGTCAGCTGTGCTCAGAGTCTATATAATGGTGGTGGTATAGTGAACATAGCTTTTCCGGTCTTGTGTTAGACAAGCTTCACGTCATTAAGCTTGCAACAGCCATGGATCCACAACATTGATTAGAGTGCTGGATTCAAATCTTTTTTTGTTGTTTTTTTTGGTATGGACTTCTTGAGCTTTAAGATGCTATTGAGAGAAAATGTTATTTAAAGAGTGTCAAGACAAAATGAACTCTCAAAGCAGTTAATATGAAATGATTCAAATAAAAGTATTTTTTGCTTAAACATCAATTGCATAAAACTCAATCTCCTTATCATTCAAATGCTGCCAACGTGCAGCAGGTACATCAGGTACGTATGATGACATGACACTGTTTTCCTCCTTTACTCCAGAATGTAACCCAGCTGTCACCTGATGGTCCTTTACCTCAACTTCCTTTGCCATATATTAACAGCTCAGCAACACGTGTTTTCTTCGGGCATGATCGAAGACCAGCAGAAGGTTAGAAAATTTTGTTAACAACTTTAAATCCCTTATCTGTAGAAGTAAAACATATGCAGGTTCTTTAAAAAAAAAATAATAATAATAATAATCTGTTACATAAAAACTATTGTAGCAAGGTAACTTAAGTAGGATTCCAAAAAGAAAAGCTTCAGCTTAGTAACTACTCTCTAAATGTCTTCAGAGTTCCTGTATGTATATGAAATCCACATATGCAAATGTGCTGAATGCCATTCTTTTTCAAAGCCTTTAGACTTCAATGCAAGCTTACAATGAACTTCATGAAATTGATTTATAATGTTGAGCAAATGCTAAGTGCTAGTGCCAGTACTAGAAATGAGCTTTCAAGTTAACTTTTAAGTTTTAATCTTTGGAACACTATGATTCCTGAATGTAAAGCGTCTTGAGTGGAAATTCTTACGTAGACTGTGGGACTGAATGCTGGCAGAAGGTGAAAATAAACCATAAGCTGAGTATGCCACATAGCATGCTAAAACCGTGGGATTCCACACTTTGAAAATGAAAATATGCTCTAATCATCAGCAGTAATGTCTTCTATATGTGCATTTCAAGAGATCTGTCAATCCAGTGACTAGTTGAATAATGTGGAAAGCGGTGGCGACTGAGAAAATAAATATTTTCTAACAATACTTACCAAACTTTTAGTGCAGTCCTTTTGGCAACTGTTGAGTGCCACAGCTTGCCTTATTCTTCCTAGGTGAAAAGCAAGCAGCAACACATGTAAGTCTGGATCAGGAATATGACTCAGAATCATCACAACAGTGGAAGGAGCTTGAGGAGCAGGTTGTGTCTGTGATCAACAAAGGAGTAATACCTTCAAACTTTCAACCGACGCAGTTTTGTTTAAACCGTTATTCAGATAACTCCAGATTTCCACTTGCTGTGGTAGAAGGTAAAGCTGGAATTTATTCATTTATCCCTGGATTATATTTGTACAGTGTTTCCTATACTGCTGTAGATTGAAAGTTTCTATGCAGTTGGCCTTTTGAGTTTGTTGAACTTTCAGATTGTGATGGAGGTAGATTGTTCTCATTATTTCCTTGCATTCCTTTAATAGAACCTATAACTGTAGAAGTCTCCTTCCGAAACCCGCTGAAGGTTCCACTGTTGTTGACTGACCTTTCACTGCTGTGGAAATTTCAGCCGAAAGACTTCAGTGCTAAACATGAGGGAGCAGCAAAAGATCCGGTAAGGAAAAGAGTTTTGTCTTTTTCAACCTAAACCTGACAACTACACTTATGGAATTTAAGTTTTCAAATTCTCATGGTGTAAGAGCACTTGATTTAAGTGTAGATTTAAAACGGGGAGGAGGGAAGTTAATTACTGTGGATTTTTATGAATCACTTAAATTTTCCCATATCCCAGGGCGCAAAGCAACCAATTTAAGTTTTTCTGTAATGAGTATTATAAAGCCTAATGTAAAGCAAAATACTTCAACATCTTGTTCTATGTGCGGCATACCTATGAAGTCAAAGTAGGCACCCTGACCAACAGAAATGACTGGTAGTGTTAAGAAATGCTTTATCTAAGCCTCTTTCTTACGCTCTCTATGTTGAATGTAGTGAGGACTCTGTATTCTGAGAGATGGTGCTGGTGCAACACAGGAACACCTAGATACCTCTACTAGAATTTAAAATCAATATTTTTAGTATTGTGGATGCTCTGCTAATTACTGTTTAAATTGACACTTAAACTAATGTTGCCAAAACTCTTTTAAGGACTCTTCTAAATACCATATTTTGAAGATCTTAATGCATTCTAATATATGGAGTGTTACAGTAAAATTGTTAATTGTTAATTGTTAATGTAAAATGGGTTCTTAAACAAAATTTTTAATAATGTAGTGATGTGTACATGCTGCAGGTTAGACACTTTGGGTTGTGTATGAGTAAGTCTCAATGATTACCATACATCTGCCCTTCTATCTGGTCTGTACTACTACTACTGCAATGATACTGCGGATACTTCTGTATCAGTGAAAATATGAATTTGAGCCATTTTCACCAGCAGGTCTTAAATTTCTCTCTTAAGTAAAAGTTTGAGTTCTCAGCTGCTGCTTCAATTCAGGGAGGTAGTGTGCTATCTGAAATATATGCTTTCTTTTTCCTCAAATATTCTAGGAATACTGCGAGAAATAATATTTAATCTTTTCCTACTCAGGAGTAATATCTGAAAAGCTTTTTCTTTTCAGGGAACATGTGATGATGATATGATAGGAACAGAAGCAATAGCAGAATTTCTAATTAATAGTGAGGAGACAAAAATGGTGAGTAGTGTACTCTATTCAATACTGAAAAGACTTTTTAAGACTTTGAGATAGAGTTCAGACTTGCGACCTGAACTCCTGGTAAAATTTAGGAAATGTTACTGATGTGTGAAGAACTGGATCTTTTAAATCTTATCCATGTGTATAAATATCCAAAAGGAAAATGTAATAGGACGAGAGGTGTTGGGCATGAGCTGAAATGTGGAGTGTTCTGTCTGAACATTAGAAAATACCCTTTACTGTGCAGGTGACAGAGCATTGGCACAAGATACACAGAGAGGTTGTGGAGCCTCCCTTAGAGGTGTTCACAACCTGACTGGGCAAGCAGCTCTAGGGGATCCTGCTTAAGCAGAGTTGTTGGACTAGGTGACCTCCAGAGGTCCCTTCCAACCAAAGCAATTCTGATTTCTGCCTCTGTTCAAGTTAATTTTTGTGACAACTTAGGATTCTTTCTTAATGTAACAGACACTTCCCAGTAAATGACTTAGTTATTGTCTGTGGTTGCGTCTAATGCAACAATGAAGTATCAAAAGTAGCCATGATTCGCTTAAATAATTGGACATTTAAATGTAATAATACTTTTTTAGTAGCAACAACAACAAAAATTTAACGTATCTCCACAGGCGAGACTAAAGCTCTTTCCCCATCAAACAGGGGAGCTACATATTCTGGGAGTCGTTTATAATCTTGGCACTATTCAGGGTACTGTGACATTAGATGGGATAGATCCTTCTATTGGATTGCAGTCAGGTAAGTACATTGTTCCCTCGAGTGTGTCTCTGGAAAGGGGAGATGTGGATTCCATGGAGTAGAACTAAATCCTGTTTAATATTTGACTATTATGTTGTGAGGTCTGTCTTCAGATAAAGAGACAGAAATGGGTAATAACTGGAACAGGAAACTAATGAATTGACACCTGTAGGAATCCTGTGAGAAAGAAAATAACTTCTGCCAGATGCATTCTTGTGCTACTTTTAAATCTATGGAAATTCTGAAACATTTAAATCAAAATGCAAACATTCCATCTACGGTATCTGTAACAAGTTTTGACTCCTTTGCTGTTTATTTATTTTTTCCCCTTTTTCAACTTTTGTCTCAGTGTTGTACTAAAGTTCTTGCTGTAAATAATCACACTTAAATTTATCTGATAGTTCTTTTGTTTTTATTTTCTTTCCTTTATATTAATGTATAAACGCTTTAATTGCATGCTGATTAATCTGCTTTAAGACATTCGTCTGACACACTAAAGAAAACTTAGTTCTTGGATAAAATAAGGATTAAAATACTTGAATTAACATACTTAAGTGTCTGAAAGAAATAATGAAGCTTGATTAACTATCTCTGAAGTGAAAATCTTATGGCTGAATCTCTGGAATAAAAATCATTTGAAGAGTGCTGGCCCCTTTTTGGAAGAAAATGGTTGATGCTATGTTTCTTCTAGCTTGGAAATTAGAAAATTTAATTAATCATGTTCACTTATTAATTATCCCATTCAATCTGGTGTTCCTATTCTCTTTGCTGCCAGGACTGTAAGCATTTATAGAGGACAGAGTTAGTTTAGAACATGTATCTGGCTCTCTTATTTGCAATAGCAATGCGTTCTATGTCACAGTAGTTCCTTGTCAGTGATGCTGCTTAGTCAGTCTACAGTAACAAAAAAAAAAAAAAGGAAGTTCTGATCACTTTTTAGAAAAAGTTACTTCAGGTATTAAAAAAAAAAAAGCTTTTAAAAATTCTTTCAGGGAAATTTGTCTCCAATGGGTTATCTGTACGAGGACGACAAGACTTAGAAATCCAAGGGCCTCGACTTAATAACACAAAAGAAGAAAAAACGTCTATTAAGTATGGACCTGATCGGCGTTTAGATCCCATTATTACGGAAGAAATGCCTTTGTTGGAGGTATGCAGTTATTTTTCTATTCATAGTATTGAGCAAATTGCTGAATGTAGAGCCACACATTTGTTAATGTTTAAATTTTTCCTGCTAATTCATGACCTGTTAGTGCCAAGTCTGTATCTTGTTTTCCAAGAGAAACTTATGGCCTTCAAATTAAGATTTGAAATTGTCACAGTCCTGTTAGAATTTAGTTTAGTTTAGTTTGCAGTATTTGTAGCCAAATTATTATGGGGTGTAGGCAAGAGGCAGAAAAGGTTTTTTTGGTTTGTTTGCCATATGTCCAGAGTACTTCAAGTGAGTTAATTAAAAAAGTGATTGTTCTTCCTGGAGTTATTAAAGTGGTCTACCTGGTTAATGACAGCACTTACAGTTTAAGTGTTTTGGTTGTTTTTTTTTTTATGTCTATTTGTAATTTGATTCGATGTTAAGAATCTTTTCCTCCTGTTCTTTCCAATACAGGTGTTCTTTATAAACTTTCCTACAGGACTTCTCTGTGGAGAAATCAGAAAAGCATATGTAGAGTTTGTGAATGTGAGCAAGTGTCCTCTTACAGCGCTGAAAGTTGTGTCCAAGCATCCAGGATTTTTTACTTTTGGTGCAAATACTGCTGTTCTAACACCACTCAGTCCTTCAGCTTCTGAAAACTGTAGTGCTTACAAGACTGTTGTGACAGATCCTACCTCTGTGCGTACAGCACTGCTATCTTCAGCTTCTTCTGTAGACTTTGGGGTTGGCATGGGAGGTCAGCCTGAGGTAATACATGTCCCACTTCCTGACTCGATTCTTCTTCCTGGGGCATCAGTGCAGTTGCCAATGTGGTTACGGGGACCAGATGAAGAAGGAGTTCATGAAATAAACTTTTTATTTTACTATGAAAGTATTAAAAGACACTCAAAAATGTGGTAAGTTATCTACTTCTTTTGCTGACCTACTCACTGGGATGTTAATAAGCACATAAGCATGAGCTTTAAACTTAATGAGTTGCAATGAAGATGTTCAAGTGGCTTGTCTGTAATTGTAAAATAATATTTCTATAGTGTTACTTGATTTGTGTGAAGTACATGAAGTATGATTTACACACTGTTTTATGGAATATTCTTTTTTCATTTTTTTTAATGTTCTTGAGACATTGGGCAGTTGAGTTTGATACCACAAGCTAACAGTATTTTCACTGAATTGAAGTTTACTTATTACTTAGTCTCAAGTTCTGCCCTTGTCCCAGGCTATAAAGGCTCAGGAGAACTTTTCCGAGAAACTAGTTCTTCAAAGATTCAGGAGTAAATAGTTATTTGTTCTGGAAAGTGAAGACATCAGCATTTAGAAAACCATAGCATAGTTTTATTGAACAGTTACATTAAGAAATGAAGACTCTCTTACTCCTTTCTTCAACCCTTCTATACTGTTTTTACAAGGCTACCTTACAGTTGTTACTGTTCAAGTCTAGAGCTGAAAATTAAGTTTTAACAAGCTTTATTTAGTTTTCAGCCTTGTAGGAAAACTGGTTGCAGACTTAATAAATGTAATTATTTAATTTTCTGAGGATGATTCTACTAGGGAGCTGCACAGATTGTTAGATTTGTTTGCTGGGAGAAATGTGCCTCAGCCTGCATTAAGTAGGAACACAGACTAGAAGGAATGCATCTGTTGAGTCAGGACTGGGAATCTGTCTGTCGTATTATACAGTTTCAGGATAATGGTGCCGTAGGTGAGGTGTAGTCCAGTGTACTTAATGTCAGCTTGTGGCTGGAGCTTGTTTTCCTGGTTATTTCTGACAAGGAAGCTGAACTCACGTTTTGAGACTGCTTTATCATGCAAATCAAAGCAAAGTAAGCTGAAGATGGTCAAGAGTAGATCAGCGTCTTCCTGGAATTAAATTAAAAGTTGTTCCTTCAGACTTAAAACTGGCATTTCAGAAAATACAGACAAATTTTCATTTGGCTTTATTCCTTATTCCTACAGGTCAGCTTATAGATTTTCTTGTTTGTTGTGGCTTTTTTTCCAAAGAATGGAGCTTATTTCTCCTTTGATTTCATAGAATTCAGGAAGTGAGGTGTTAGAATGGGATATAGTTACTTAGAGACTGTATTTATTCTCTACTGTGTTGAAGTTTCCAGGGAGACTTAAATATGTGAAATTGTCTAATAATTGTTCTGTAGACTGACCATGATTCTTAAATTTCTGAAGGGTGGTTTAATTTGTGCCACTTGTAAGTTATGCTGACACCCGTATATGACTGAGGATTGTCTGCAAATCTTAAGCTTATCCTATGGATTGTGATACTATGTTGAAATGCAGTTTAGGAAACCAGCAGTAGCTTTTTTTTTATTCTCTTGAGACAGAAGTATTACACTCATGTATTTAGCAGACAGTACATGTCAAATGTATACACACCTCTATTTCCATACGAATGTTACTGTAGTGAAAAAGTTTATGTGTTTTTACGGGGTCCAAGAAGTTGACATATCTTCAGTAATACAGGAAGATAACTTTTATGAAGGTCTTGCTGGCCTCAGGGCTGAATGCGACTGGAAAGAAGCAGAATAGTGCTGGCTCTCAAACTTTGAAAACTCTTAATTTTGTCAGTATTTGTTGAATGCGATAGTATTCTGGGAGCTTTAGTGAATGTTTCTGCAGGAGATGTGACTAATTACTAGAGGGCCTTCTATGGTTTATTTGCTGGAAAAACTGTATTTTATGGTAACATTAAATGGCCTAATCACTTCCCTGTGTCTTACCTGGAATATTAACAAGGTGTTTTTCAACATGGTATCATGAAACCACCGTTTCTCTAGTAATTTTGAACTGGGTAAGAATCTGTGTATTTGATAGGTGCCTGTCTAGTGCAATATGATTGTTTAGTTTTCTGTCAAAAGTGTGTAATAGAAAAATATTGTCTTGATGATTGAGGGAAATAAATAGTCTAATGACCTTAATGTTGATGAGAAATGTAAAAGCTGGACTTGGTGAAGTGCTCTGGACAGCAGTCCCGGTTCTTCAGAATGTCTTTCTCCTCTCTTTCCCGTTTCCTAGTCATAGAGTACTAAGACACACTGCAGTTATTTGTACTAGCCGGTCTCTGCATATTCGAGCTACTGTCTGCAGAAGTAATGCACTTGAAGATGAAGAAGGCAGAGGGGATAACATGTTGGTGTTTGTGGATGTAGAAAATATCAATACTGTAAGTTCTTATTTTTAATAGTGATACTGTTCTTCAGTTCAGCACATGTGTTAATGTCCCCAGTAGAGCCAATACTTAAAGCTTTTTTGTACTATAACTTTGACTGGAAATATTAAGTAAGCCTTTCATACTTAATTGTTCCAATTAATGTTAGTGCTTTCTTTCCAACAGTAAAGCTGTGTGTCAAAACTGTGGGAATCTGCTGTAACTGTTTCTACCCCTAAGTGTGATCTCGAGCCTTTTTCTTTGAGCTCTTAGCAGAGCAGGTGACATTACTTCAGTCTCACCATGCTATTTCAAACTTACTCAACTTTTTTGGTTAAAATTTGTTCCCATTTTTTCAACCGTAAAGCAAAGTAGTTGAGTGCATTGCTTATTAGAACTCCTGGGCACATAAATGGTGGTAGAATCACAGAGCTGATCTGTCACTTTGTGTTGTGCATATGCTTTGGTTTTTCTTCAGCTATTAAGGTGAGGAGGAAGGAATGTGCTAAAAAGCATTTGTCAAATTTGCAGATGGCGCTATGTGAAACTTAATTTTCCATTGTCATCTCCTTTCCCTGAAAGAAAACCAACCCTAAATGTTGTTTTTTCTCATATGTAATAAAAATCCTAAATTCCTGGGATTTAGTATCTTGCAAGAATGCTGGAGTAATCTTTAGAAACTAAATGCTGTTGTGGATAATGGTCTCTGTTGGAGGTTTTTTATAGTTGCTAAAATGCCACCTTGGAGGGAGTTTTTCTTTGAGATTTTTTTTCTTTCTGTAGTTTCATTTACTAGAATTAAATGTCTTGGATTGTTTCACATTGTAGTGGGTCCTCAATCTCTCCTTATCTTTCCTGCATATTGTATTGCACGTGGTTTGAAATGAGGAGTTAAATAGAGTTTCTAGTCGTGCCATTTTGTGACAAATGCTTACTTTGCAATGAAGAACTTGATTGATCAACTATGACTGATCTTATCTGACATCTTTTTTGTTTCCTTTTTAGAGTGAGACTGGTGTTAAAGAATTTCATGTAGTGCAAGTTTCAAGTAATAGTAAGCACTGGAAGCTTCAAAAATCTGTTAACGTTTCTGAAGACAAAGGTATGTATCCCTATAATCAAAAGGACAGTAAGTCCAGCTTCTGCCTGATGAGGAAACTAGTTTTCCAAGGAGCTGAAGTTTGAGAATAACTCAGTTGTAAAAATTGTATGTCCATTTTGAACATATTGAAGTGACGTTAAGCTAAACCTTAATTTTAAAAAATGAGTTTAATTTACAGGTAAATTATTTAGCTGTTATAGAGAAGTACGTGTCTAGATTGGCTGATAAGTTGCCACACAGGAGTAATGTTTCACAGCATTCCTTTATTTTAATTTATTTATAATTACCATTGTGTTTAACTAATCAGTAGAATATTTGACAAATGTTCTATTCAGTTATTAGAAATATGCTACAATTGCTAGCATTGTGTATCCTGCCTTAGCTAATATAATTGTTTCTTTTTGAAAAGACAAAATGAAGGCAACAGAAAGTCAACTGTTAATTGCATCTAACAAATGGTATCTTTACATGTATGCTGATGCTTTTTCTGCCTAAAAATGAATCTTACTGCATTAATAATGAAGGTGAACTAGGCATACTTTTTGTCATCTTTCAGTTCTTTCAGTTTCTGTCAGTCTCCTTTAGTCATATAGGTAGGATAGGTTAGCAGAAGATTATTTGCCTGAGTAGATATGCTACTTGAGTGTGATCAGTGTGTTTTTTTTATCTGAAGTTCGAAGGCTGGCTTGTTAATAAGGAATTCTATGTAATTATGTTGGAGGCAAAAAAAAAACTTGCTACTCTTTCTTTCAGACACTAAACTTGCTAGCAGAGAGAAAGCAAAGTTGTGCTTTAAAGCAGTGAAATGCAAAAACTCCGAAGGTAAGTTTTTCTGAATATGCTAACATTTATGAAAAAATAGTCGATGTTGTGTTGCAATTGGGATTTGTCATGATGCTGAGAGGATGCTTTCTTTTCTTATCCCTTAGAAAGCTACACATTTGCAGACATCGTCTTTGGAAATGAACAGGCAAGTGAACGGGTGGAACTACATACTTGTGCAGCTATCCTACTGAAAGCCTCTTTTTAAATGTAAAAGTATGAACAGCTCTCCTTATACAGAGAAGATTATATGATAGTCTGGTGTTTTTGGTTGCTGACTTAACAGTTGAAGTCTTTTAGGAGTGCATTGAGATGCTAGCTTTTTTCCTTCTTTTCCAACTCTTAAGAGCAGTTTTCTAGCAGTTATCTAGTAGAAATCTGAATTTCATTTTTCTCAATTATCTTTTTACTAAGGTAAGTTAAAACTTCAGATTACTCTTGGTACTCAGAATGTTTTTCCAAGACTTGAGAAAATAGGACATTTGGTATCAGTTCAGAAATCTACACTGAGACAGTGGATGTGATCAGGTGGATGTCAGTACTAGACTGCTTGTTTTCTACATATGCATCTACCTTTTAAAAGTCAAACTGCTTACTACAATTTAATTTATAAGCATACAGATTGAGTTTGGGACTAAAAAATCCGGTTAAGCTTCCCTAATGGACTTCAACTTTCTTCTAAGAAAAGGTTCTCTTCACTGGGGTGTTGTAGAGGGGTCCGTCCTTTCTAGCAAGTTAACTACTTTTGGCATAATTTTCTCTTTGAGTTTGAATATTCTGCTGAAATTAGCATCTTTGCAACAGTATATTCTAATCTAATCCCTCTAAATGGAGGGATTAGGAACCTGAAGTTTACTTACCATGTTTTGTCCAAGTAATATTGCTGTCAATCTTAAAACCACCAGTTCCTTAGTAAGCTTTTGGTGTTTGGAAATGCTTAGCGCGAGTGATGACCCAGTACTTCTGGCTGTGCTTCTTACAGTATGAAATATACTCTTCAGTCTCTGTTATTGTGAGTTAAATGTGCATCCCTAACTCTAGCAAATGCTTCTAGTTAATTAACCTGAAGGAAGTATTATAGCAATAATGATTTGCATGTGAGTTAGCCTATAGGGGACACGCCAACTCTCTTCACCATACTTGATCACGTAGTGGCATGTCTGGTGGAAATAATTAAAGATCTTCTAAAGGATATACTTATGTCAGCTTACATCCTGTTCCGAGTCCTTTTTCTTTATTTCTTGCAGATAATAAGTTCAGCCAGTCCATGTGCAGACTTCTTTTTTCAAGGCTTATCTTCTGAATTGGGAAGAACTCATGTACAATCTCAAACTCATGCATCTCAAAGGGCTGTGAAGCAATCATTTGATGAGGCAGTCAGATTGATACAAAGATGCAGTGAAGTGGACTTGAACATTGTTGTACTATGGAAGGTATGTTGTTTTTTTTTTTTTTTTTTTAAGTTTTGTGGAAGTAGGTTATGAAAGTAGGTAGATGTAGAAAATAAATATGGCACCTTGAACTTTCAAGCATGCTTAAAAAAAATTGCATCTTTAAGTTTTGTATAAAATAAAACTAATGAACTAAAGTAAGCAGAGGTAGTCTTAATATTGTTAGTTTACCAACTGTACTTAAATGATTTTTCCAATGTCCTAAATGTATCCAGTTTTTAATGTTCTGTTTTTAAAAAATAAAACTGAAAATTGTGAATTTTGTTATGCTTGCTTCTATCAGAGAATTGTAAGAGTGTGACTCAGTTTGCTTAAAAGAGGACACAATTATTCAGAATACAAATAATATGTATGGCAATTAACAGTCTGAACCTGAGTTATGTGCGCTTACAAAGTTAAAAGCATAAACATAAATACATGAGTCATACTAGCATTGGAACAACTCACCTTCCACTTCTGGAGAAAGTCAGTAATTCTGTATTAAGAAGCTTATCATTTAAAAAAAATTGTCTGCTAATGTCTTTGTATTTTGTAGGCATATGTTGTGGAAGATAACAAACAGCTTATTTTGGAAGGCCAACATCATATTGCCCTTAACACAGTTGGGAAGGAGGCGTTTTCATTTCCTCAGAAGCAGGTAATCTACTATGAATTTTTTCTTAGCAGATGCTTTTCTTTCCCCCCAAATGGACTTGATGTGCCTTCTTGTAAACAGAAAAAAATGGAACCACTTCTTGTAAAATATAAGACTTGAGTAAGGTGCCACTATTTGGTTGTTTCATTAACTGTTCTCTGTTATTTCAGGCTGGGTCTAGTGGTATTATGTCCAGTTGATAGTGAAATGGTGCATTTATTTTAAAGAGTTACAAAATTAAAATTATTATGCACAGCTTCTAATTGAAGGTCTTTATTGTAATGTCTTAAACAGAAGAGCAGTAACACTGGGGGAAAGTAGCAAGGCACTGGAAGTTTCAATGGAATATATCAACTAATAGTTTACTATTTCATGTTCCATATGTACTATTTCATAGCCTATTTGCTTATGTAGAGAAATTAACATCCGTAAGAAACTTGTGGGTATTCCTTGTTATGTGAAACAGTAATAACTATGGAAGTTAAATTGGTGTAAAAATATGTATGTTAGACACAGTTTTTGCATTATGATTAATATGCAGAACAATATGTCTAGAGTTCTGCTAACCAGTATAATGCTGCGTTTTGTTGTTTTGGTGCCAGTCTTGCAGCATTACAGGATTTTCCTGTAAGTCCTTTTGTACTGTGGAATAGATGGGATGGGGCATGTAGTTTGAGCTAAATTGCCTGCTCTTAATTCCCACTGGGGATAAAAGGAAAGTCAAGGTTGAATTTCTGAAGAGGATTTTTTTTCCTCTCGCAAAAGCAAAAACCAAAATCTTTGCATGTATGAACTCAAGCTACGCTGAACATTATTTTACTGTATTGGTCTAATTACATCTACTCTTACTGGTGTTTTCTTCCTTCTTTTAAGATGTATGTAGAACAATCAATAGCACTAAATATCTGAAATTAGGAAGTAGAATGCTGTGAACTTCTGCTCCTGATCTCATTGAGGTCTGGTTCTTGCAAGTCACTGGGGAGAGAAGCAATAGGAACGAATCACACTTGTATCCTAAAACAAACGTGGCGCGAACATTAGACATGTAGGGATGGGGACTTGCTTTTTTATGTTGACTGTATCTAGATGGCTTAATTGAATTTAGTTACTTCAAAGTAAGTGAAATGAATCCTGCCACCAGCAACAAAAAGGGATCGGGATGTATCCACAATTCATTTTGATGGTTGAATGCTACTGTTCTACAGATTATAGAGACCACATTCTCAACAATGTTCTTGTTACAACTGCAAATAGAAGCTGCATTGATTAGTGTATTTGCTTTAAGTGTAAGGAGCCAATTTTCAGAACTTATTTGGAATCGCTCTGTGCCTCTGAAGCAGAAATCTTTCTGCACTGTTGTGCAGTTGAAATCTAGTTTATAAAGAGGATAGTGTTGTTTTGTTTTATTCTTATAGTATATGCTTAATTGGTACATCCTCATGGTAACCAAAGCTCAGTCTGAACATAGACTTCAATAGCTCATTATGTCAGGACTGTTGAGAACTGAAGTCTTTTACACTCACTTTGTTTTGATTGGCATGTTTTGTCACAGGAGAGAAAAGAAACTCCTGAGATGGAAGATGAAGTAGAACCTTACTGTCATCTAGGTTGAAAAAGATATCCAGGATTACCAGCTCAATCATAAACCTGTCCTACCAAGTTCCATCACTAAACCATGTCCCTTGTTGCCCTATTCATGCATTACTTAAATATCCCCCAGGGAAAGAGAGTGCACCTGTTCCCTAGTCAGCCTGTTTCAGTGCTTAGCCACCCTCTCCATTAAGAAATTATTTCTAACATCTAATCTAAAGCTTCCCTTGTACAACTTGAGATCGCTTACTGTCATTTTTCACTTGAGAAAACAGGCTGACAACACTCTCCTTGCTAAATCCTCCTTTCAAGTAGTTGTAGATAGTGATGAGGTGTCACCTCAGGTGTTGCTTCTCCAGATTAAACAATCTCAATTCCTACAGCCACTCCTCATAAGTCTTTTTTTTTTTTTTTTTTTCTAGTCTTTTCATCAGTTTTGCTCTTCTCTCTACACATTTGAGTAATTCCTCACCCTTGTAGTGAGGAGCCCAAAACTCTATGCAGTATCCAGACTTTGATCTCTCTTGTGCTGTGTACGAGGGGGTAATTGCTTTACTAGGCCTGCTGGCCAGGCTATTTCTGGTGAAGGTCAAAATGCCATTGGCCTTCTTATTCACCTGGGCACACTGCTGGCTCATACTCAATTGACTGTTGACCAGAACCTACAGATTCTTTTCTGTTGGCCAACTTTCTAGCCTCTCTTTCTAAGCATATAGTTGGAAAGATATAAAATATAATTGGTGGTATGACTCAACTGTGGGACCCAGCATTTTAGCAATGTTAAATGTCCAGTCACATGACAACTCATCAGTTTAGATGCCTCTCTGCAAAGCCCTCCTACCCTAAAGCAGATCATCAGTCCTAACTACCTGGAAACTTACTGAGGGTGCTCTTGATCACATCATCCAGATTGTTGATAAAAAATGTTAAACTAGCCCCAGGTCTGAGCTTTGGGGAGTGCCAGTGGTGTCTGGCAAGTGGTTGAACTGAGCTCTATGCACTATGACTCTTTGAGCCTGGCCAACCAGCCACTTTGCCTAGGAAATTACATATTTGTCCAAGTTGTGAGCAGACAGTTTCTCGTGGAGGAGAAACTGGGGACAATGGTTACGAAAGCATTGCTAATATCCAGATAACATCCACAATCTTTTCCTCATCTAGTAAGCAGGTCAGCATTTCACAGAAGATTAGGTTAGTTAGGCAGGACTTGCCTTTTATAGACATGTGCTGGCTGCTTCTGATCACTTGATTATCTTGTATAATAAATGATTGAAACTTCGCAGCAGTTAAATATGTGGAATGAATGAAGGAGTTTAAAGAACCCCTGAAATGGGATTAAATTAGGCTATGTGGAGGAAATAACATACTTCATCTGTTAACGTTTGCGTATTCTCTTTGAAATACTTAGCTCTTGAATTAAGGTTGTCCAAGCAGTGAAAGGGGATGAGGGAAATCCCAAATTCAAACTGTATTTGTAACTTAATGTTTTCAGACTTCCAACAGTCAAACAGCATCTTTGTAAATCTGTGTTCTGTACTAGTCATCCAGCAAGGTTGGAAACTAGACTGTTCCTGTCTTGGGCTGACACAGAAGTAGTCTGTTTTCTGAGGATTAGACAGCAGAGGGAGATGGAGACGCATGCTTTTTACTGCTACTTTATACAGTTTGATAAAGGGCTGCTCAGTTCTGCGGAACAGATCTATGTGCAAGCTCTGAACAGTGGAGTCAACTAGGATGCAGGCGTTGTCGCTCTGTGCATTTCTTGTTGCTTTCCTTTGTTATTGTTGCTCTTTGATATTTTTTTTTTTTTTTATTCTTTACTTGAGGAAGCTTTTTCTTCCTGCTTTAGTAACCAGCAGCAGAACTGTTGCTTCTGGCAGTGCAGCAATTCCCAACCAAGAACGGTCTCACAATAGATCTGGAGAAAACATACGACTTTATTCATTTCCCTTGATCTTACTTATTTTAACCCTCTAAACAATTACTTCAATCTTAACTGGATTCTTCAAATAACTTGCTCTTAATTTTGGGGAGGGTTAATTTCTATGTACTTAATGACTTCTGCTTTGTCAATTGTTGTCTCTCTGAGACTAATTCTTTGCCTGCCCTTAAGGGTTTGGTTTGGATCTGTCCGAACTTCTAGGACTTGTCAGAAAAACAAAGCTTTACTAAACATCTGTAGTAGAGAAGCACTAGATTTGTTTAGTTTTTTTTTGACAGTTTCTCAAGTTCTTCAGACTGTTGCTGGCAGACTGGTAATTGGGTGTGCCAATGCATGATCATCTTAAGGTTTCTAAGCTATGATGTTAAGTCTGACTGAGATGCAAGGACAGGTAAATTCTGTTTGGTTTTTGTGGAACACATTAATGCATACAACCACAGACATGGAATAGGAAGCAGGATGTTGTTATTTGTTTTCCGTAACAGCACAACTTGCCAGAGTACTTGATTTTAAAAAAAAAAAAAAAAACCTGTCTGTTTTCCATAAAACACAAATAGCAGAGTTGAGGAAAGGTTTAAAATGCTTCTGGCTAAAATTTCTGTATGTACCTGCATTAAAAATGGTAAAAGTAAAGTGAAATTCTGTGAGCGCTTTATCTGGAAGCTCAAATGCATGTGTTTTGTTCCCATAGGAATCATAGAATGATTGAGGTTGGAAGGAGCCTTTAAGATCATCTAGTTCAAGCACCCCTGCTATAGGCAGGGATGCCTCCCTCTAGACCAGGTTGCTTGGAGCCCCATCCAGCCTGGCCTTGAGTGCTTCCAGGGAGAGGGCATCCACAGCCTCTCTGGGCAACCTGTTCCAATGTCTCACACCCCCTCAGTGAAGAATTTCTTCCTGCTACCTAGTCTAAATCTTCCCTTTTCCAGTTTAAAACCATTTTCCCTTGTCCTGTTGCTACCTGCCCTTAAAAAAAAAAAAAAAAAAAAAAAAAAAAAGTCCCTCCCTAGCTTTCCTGTAGGCCCCTTCAGTTACTGGAAGGTCACTATAAAGTCCCCTCAGGGATTTCTTTTCTCCAGACTGGTGAGCCCCAGCTCACCCTGACCTCATAGGAGAGGTGCTCCAGCGTTTTGATCACTGTGGCCCTCTTCTGGACCTACTTCAACAGCTCCATGTCCTTCTTTTGTTGGGGGCTCTAGAACTAGATGCAGTACTCCAGATGGGATCTCATGAGAGAAGAGTATAAGGGCAGAATCACCTCCCTCAACCGCCTTCCTGCTGGTCACACTTCTCTTGATGCAACCCAGGATACAGTTGGCCTTCTGGACTGCAAGTGCATACTGCTGGCTCATGTTGAATCTTTCATCAACTGACGCCTCTAAATCCTTCACCTTAGGACTGCTCTCAAGCCAACCTGTGTCTGTGCTTGGGATTTCCCTGACCTTGCACTTGGCCTTATTGAACTTGATGAGATTGGCATGGGCCTACCTCTCAAGCCTGGTCCCTCTGGTTAGTTTCCCTTCCCTCTAGCTTGTCAACTAGGAATTCAGTATGTAATTAGATTGAACTGGATGTTCAGTACATAATTATAAATGTTAAACCTCTTTCCTTCTGATAATAGTAATGACAACTATGCCTTTGGAGCTTACTGATTTTTCTGTCATTGGATACAGATATGTTTTTTAAAACTGGAGGGTTTTTATCTGTTTAAGTGGATGAGTTTGATTTTTAAATTTCTATATTTGAAAACATTTAATTTTTTGTTCTGATCATGTTTAAAAGCACATTAACCTAATTATTGTGAGGATTGTTTTTGAAATCGAAAATTTTAGGCTGTCTGATATTCCTTAAACTCTTCAAAATGATTATATGTGAATATACCATTTTGATGCATCTATTGGAAAGGATGAAATTCTCATGTTGGAAGTGTTCTCTGAGGTTGAGCTATATATTATGGGTGTATCTGTATATGTTTTGTTGCCTATTAAATCTGTCATATCATTCAAAAGATGCATTGATTAATGTGTACGTTTTGACTCTTCCAACCTCAGTATTCTAGTTGCAGGAAAAATCTAAAACTGATGTGAAAAATACACAATTTCAGAAGTATAAATAATGATAATACACAATTTTATTTCAGAGTAGTGAAAAACCTCTAACACGGTCCTTTTTTTTTTTTTTTTTTTTTTTTTTCAACTACTGAATATATGAAGGTGGGGAAATCCTTCTACTTGAAACAGTAATCTTGTTTTATTTTAGGTGCATATCTTTGAATTTTGGCCTTTGTAGATTGTGGCTTTGGGCAACAAAAAGCTTTCTAAAAACAGCTTTACTTGCACAAATTGTACCATTTGTAGCCATTGGGAGACTACTTTGGGAACATTGTGGTTCTGCTGGTACTGTCCATTTCGTGCTTCCAATTAAGAAACCCAGAAACTTGAATGCTGCTGTATACCTTGACATTCTGGTCAATCTTGTCTGTGCCACTACTATTATGTATGGATGAGATTTTTCCAATTGCATCTGAACCATTTTTAAAGGGGAACACCTTGAACACTGTTATGGCCTTCTTGTATGGAATATGTGGTGCTTGCTGTCTCCTTGCAAAGCCTCCATGAACCTAAGAAACTGGAGTAGGTTAAGAGGCTGGCTTTAGGTCTCAACTTTTGGTTTTTTTTTTTGTATTTTTAAAGGCAGAACTTCATTTGAATTGGTGTTCTAGGAGCTGAGCAACAAAAAGCCACCTGTTTAATTTTTAGTTTAGTTTTGCTTTACTTCTAAGTGTAAATAGCTGAATGTCTTGAGGTTTTTACTTCATTCATTTTTGAGGGGAAGGTATAGGTCCCAGGTGGATATGGGCATCTTTTTTGCAGCCTTGATTCAATTTGTGAAGCTCCAAAGTAGGGAAGGAATTTAATGCATCTTTCAACTTGGCATTTTATTAGATGTCTCTAAGTAGCTATCTGATCTGTATGCAGATCTTGGTTAACATTTGGAAGTGCTTAATTCTCTCCAGCAGCATTAGGTGAGAGAAACATGTGCTAAATGTCTTGTTGTAGTCTTTGTTCCAGATTAAAAATAAATAAACAAATTACAAAAACTAGACATTGAGCAGCTCAAATTGCAGGAACAGACATTGTTAGTTGAATCTGACATCTAGAGGGTGACTGGAATTAAAATTCAGCCCTGTTATGGTAAATTGTTAATCTTGCTGCCTTCCAGCCTTTCAGCAGAGTAGGAGTATTGGAACTGAAGGCTTTGATATATTAACAGCATTTTGCACTTTCACCAGTGAATGTTCCTGTTGTGTTTCATGATGTCTTTGTATATTTGTAGAGATAAACCTTCATATTTGTCTCTTGTAGGGTTTAAAAAAAATACTCGGGAGTTCTGATTGGGAGGACTTGGAACAGGTAATTCACTCTAGGGCACATTACAGTGTGTAGGATGTTGGCATGTGGTTGAAGTGGGAGTTTGAGATTAAAAAACAAAACAAAAAAGTAATGTGAACTCTAGAAGCTAGTGTTTATTCTTCTGTTAATTTCCATCAAATTAGGTACCCGTTAGGTAGGGAGGAAATACCCAATTCATTAAAACATTAAAGTTATATGATGGGGGAGAAGTGTATTTCATACATTTCAAACTCATTTCATTCATTTTCAAACTAATCTTCTTTTCAGTAGTTAAAGGATTGCAGGGGTGATTGGAAACCTGATTGGTTTAGTTTCCCGAGTATTTCAGCAAAGGTTTACAGATTGTTTGCTGATTTCATTGAGCCCAGTGTGTATGTTTGAGTCATGTTTTGTTGTCTGTCAACTTACAAGGTACAACTCAGCAGTGTTAATTGAAAAATATTACTTTGTGCAGTGTACTGACTTATTGGTGTGTCTAAGTCTTCCTTCACTCTCTTTAATAATGGCATTGTTTGCTGCAATTTTTTTTTCTAAAGGTGGACTCTTTTTTGCAGAATAGGTTCATAAGGCCTTTTTCCTGCTTGAAAAATAGATTATGTTGAACGTTGTTCAACAGAGTAGTGATGTAATGCTGGACCAAATGCAGCCTGATTAACTCATTTGGTGTTGCATCTTTCTGTCATCTGATTTCTTCTGCTTCAGAGGTTGGATCCCAATCTTACAAGCAGAATCAAAGTAGTGTCCGTGCTTTACTTGGGCTTTCAGCTGGGGATGAGGAAAGGCAACTTGTATAGCACATTCTTGCAAATCTAATTTGTAAGGTAGTCTGCCTTTTAAAATCCTTCTGTCGTTGTTAGCATGTTGTCATAAACTTCGTTTTTTTTTTTCTTGTGGATCTGTCTGGAAAACTTGGCTACTAGCTTTCCTTTTCACTTCCCAGTGTAGGTGATAGGCTCTTTAAGTTACAGCTTTTGAACTAGGGAACTGTCTGAATGCTATCCCTGTTTCTTAAAAAGAAAACAACCAAATCCCAGCAAATCACCACAACTCTAGCAGAATACTTGTGTGAAACTTGCACAGATGTTCATGTGCACCTGTGAAACCTCTCAAAAGAGAAGGTAGCAGAAGTTGTATCGCTTCTCATTTACAGAATCACAGAATCACCCGGGTTGGAAGGGACCTCAAGGATCATGTAGTTCCAACCCCCCTGCCTAGCAGGGCCACCAAACACACACATTCAGATCAGGTTGCCCAGGACCCCGTCCAATCTGGCCTTAAACACATCCAAGGACGGGGCATCCACAACCTCCCTGGGCAAATTTAGTTGCCCAGGGAGGGCAATTTAGCATTTAGCATGCTTAAATACAGAATGTGTTGGAAAAAAGTTACTATGATGTCATGGGCTTATATTCCTGGAGTTACAGTTCATAACTAAAAACTTGTAAATTCTGAGACTGGATTTTTTGTGTTGTTTCATAATGCCTTGTTTCAATGCTTTAAGTGTCATTCTGAATTTATTCCAGGAATTACCAGAAACAGCACTCCTAAAGTTTTTTCGACCCGAAAGTGCACCAGTACCTGCAAGACCAACACCAGAGCAGCTTTCCAATCTTATCAAGACAAGTCTTCATTACCCAGAGTCCTTCAATCACTCTTTCCACCAAAAAAGGTTAGCAGGATGGTTTTTTTGTAATCTTTTAGAATATTATTCATTTGATATAAATCCTACTGGGAGATGAACATAGATCATAATGTGTAAGATAAAACAGTATGAGTGCCTCAGTTCAAGGAAGGCAGGGGAGAGTTCAGTGGAGGGCTGCAAAGATGATGAGAGGCATGGACCACCTCCCTTATGAGGAACGGCTGAGAGACCTGGGACTGTTCAGCTGGAGATGACTGAGGGGGGGGGACTCCTATCAGTGCTTGTAAATATCTAAAGGACAGGTATCAAGTAGATGGGGACAGACTCTTTTCTGTGGTGCACAGCAACAGAACAGTGGGCACAAAAGTGGAACACAGGAAGTTTCTGAAGGTGCGTGAGGAAGAACTTCTTTACTTAGAATGTGACAGGGCACTGGAAGAAGCTTCCTAGAGAGTTCGTGGAATCTCCTTCAGGTATTCACTATTTGCCTGGATGCTTTCCTAGGGATTCTATTATAGGGAGCCTGAGTTAACAGTAAAGTTATACTAGATGATCCCCAGAGGGTACCTTCTAACCCCTACAACTCTGATATGCAGGAGGGAAAGCTAGCTGAGTTCCTAAATGTTCTGCTTCAGGAAGGTATAGGTAAATTGCAAGTTCAATGTAGAAAAACAGGTTGTGGTATTACAGTTTGCAGTTCTAGTTTTAACTACAACTGTTCTCAAACAGCAAAATAAATGTTCTGAGTTTGTGTGTATTTTTGAGGAGTGTCAAAGGAAGAAGCAGCATAACTACTTGAACACTAGCAGGTAATTCTAAGTTTTATGTTAAGAACTGTTATGTCTACAGTACCAGACTTGATAACTTGAACTATGGCTGGAACTTCATTTAGAAATGGAAATGGTAACAGTTTAGGTCACTTGTGTCTTGTCTCTTGGAATAATCTCAAAATTAATCTGTTTAAAATGCTAGTGTGAATCAGCTGCAGCCTGTAAAATCTTGGGCTCTTCCAAAAATAAAATGATGTGCACGAACTCCTCAAGTTTGTTTCTAGACACAAAAAGTATTTACAATTATAGCTATTTAGATTTGAGTTGTGTTTTTCTGAGAGCTCTGCTGTGTTTATACTAGCATTTACTTTAGTTTCTGGCTGTGTAAGTTGCCACCAGAGGTATTTTTTTATTTACAAAATCTTAACATTTTCAACACTTCATAAGGTGGCATATTTTAATGACACTTATGAAGCGTGTATCATTCCAGAAACAAGACCAGAAACAAATCTCATTTTTTCTAGTAGCTCTTCTCTTTTTGATCAAGTTTAGAATATTTAACTGTTCAGCAATGGCAAGGGCTTCCAGTGAAACAAATCACTTGTTGCATAAATAACTATTTCAGCTGCAATAGTTTGTACCGCTGTCTGTAAATATCTTGGATTGCTCTTTCTGCAGGATTATTTATAAAAACAATCATACTAATTGTGGACAAACATACCTATGAGCTCTATTGAGGATAAGGGCTTTAATTAACACTAAACATATGCACTGTTTGATGTGCAACTACTTCTCTTTGCAGCCTCTGTCTGGTCCCTGTTACTCTCCTACTTTCCAATTGTTCCCAGGCTGTTGTAGATGTGATGATTGATTTGCGGCATAAAACAACAAGGTAATGTATTTATGTTGATTACAAACATTTTTTCTTCTTAGTTCACAGAATCACAGAATCACCTGGATTGGAAGGGACCTCAAGGATCATGTAGTTCCAACCCCCCTGCCTAGCAGGGCCACCAAACACACACATTCAGATCAGGTTGCCCAGGACCCCGTCCAACCTGGCCTTGAACACGTCCAAGGACGGGGCATCCACAACCTCCCTGGGCAGCCCGTTCCAGGGCCTAACCACTCTCCTTGTAAAGAACTTCCCCCTAACATCCAACCTAAATCTTCCCTCCCTCAACTTGGATCCATTTCCCCTAGTCCTGCTGTTGTCAGCCCTTTTGAAGAGTTTACTCCCCTCGTGGGTGTAGGTTCCCTTCAGGTATTGATAGGCTGCAATGAGGTCACCCCGCAGCCTTCTCTTCTCCAGGCTGAACAAGCCCAACTCCCTCAGCCTGTCCTCATAGGGGAGGTGCTCCAGCTCCCTGATCATCTTAGTCGCCCTCCTCTGGACCCTTTCCAAAATCTCAATGTCTTTCTTGTACTGAGGGCTCCACACCTGGACACAGTACTCCAGATGGGGCCTCACAAGAGCTGAGTAGAGAGGGACGATCACCTCCCTGTCCCTGCTGACCACCCCTCTCCTGATGGAGCCCAGGATCCCATTTGCCTTTGAGCTGCCAGAGCGCACTGCTGGTTCTAGTTCTAGTTCTGGTTCTAGTTCTAGGAAGTCTTTCAAGTTATAAGGGAAATTATTGTAGGCAGTCAATCAGAAAGACTCAGTAACTTCCGGGATTTCAGAGAAGGCTGACAGTTGGCACTCTTGCATCTGAAGGTGGCGGGAGTAGTAACTTAGTTTTGTAATTCCTGACTTTTGAGAAGAAATTTTGAGAGAATGTAAACGAATTTCTGTAAAGAACTGATGATGGACACAAAGTACCTTCTGAAATTTTGGATAAATGTTAAATAAAGGGCTCGTATAATCTGTTAATATGTTTCAAATGCAGACAAGTAATGTTTATCTTCTTTTTCAGCCCAGAGGCGCTAGAAATCCATGGATCCTTTACGTGGCTTGGGCAAACACAGTATAAGCTTCAACTGAAAAGCCAGGAGGTCTATAGCTTGCAGCTGAAAGCTTGCTTCGTTCATACTGGTGTCTATAATCTTGGAACCCCCAGAGTATTTGCCAAGCTAGTGGACCAAGTTACCTTGTTTGAAACAAGTCAGCAGAACTCTATGCCTGCACTGATTATTATCAATAATGTTTGACCACTTCCTGAAAAATCATACTAAAAGACAAAATAAATGGGATTCTTTTCTTATATTGCTGGTTGACATTTTGCTGCAGTTTTTTGAAATAGCACCTGGAACATCTAACTTGTTACTAGAGATCGTGTAGAAAAGAAAATAGCAAAATACTCAGACTTGTCAATTTGTTTCTCAATGCAACGCACGTTGGACTGAAAATACGTTTATCCTTTTGTATAATGTATTTCTTCTCTGGTAATTAAGATATTCATAACACAAAGTAATCTTCAGCTCCAGATCTGAACATAGTTCTGTGTCCTATGCCCTGTCAAAAATGCAGCTTGGCTGCTGTTACAACTTCCAGCATGGCGTGTTTAATATTTGTGGCTGTATTAGGATATGGTTCAGGAAGAAACCCTCACTGGCTTTTTCCTGTCAAAAGCCATTAGTCATAATAAATCCTAACCTTACTGTGAGTTAATAGGGTGTCTCCAAACTGTTTCTCAATTCTTTGGTTTAAAAATTTGTTTTGAGTTTTCAAGTCTATGAAAACTGGTGACCATTCGAGGTTCACAAGTCCCACCGAGGGTGTTTCAAAAATAATTTTTTCAACTAGTTTCAGTATTTTTCTCACTCATCTCAACACAGAATGCACTATTTCACAACCATGAGATTGTCATTTAAATTGTCACTGCTTTATTATGTAACTATAACAATTGATCTGTTTTAAAAATTAAATCTACTCAAGATTTTCAAGAAATGTATTATATTTATAACAAATGTACTGTAAATAGAATAAAACATACATCATATTCACTGTATGGAGTGTTGCCTTGGATTTTTTTTTACTTCCCTTTTATACAGCTGTAGCAATTTACAGGTGCTGATTTTTTTTGTATAAGAATTCCATTGTGTACTACTTTATCCTCGTCTTGTTTGCTCAGGTGAAGTTCTTTTCCTGTTGTCATTGTAGCATTGGTGTACATGGTGAATCACAGAGGTTGCTGTATTTGCCCTTTCTGGAAGCAAACCTCAGTTCTGTGTGGGGAATGTCAGTTGTGTGATGGGAATCTGCTGTGCAAAGCAGTGAAGTGCAGCAAAACCAGTGAAGAGTTAGGAGGTGTGGCTTATGATGGATTACCTGAGTACAAGGAAATCAGAACTACCTAATGGCACCTAAACTTCAGGCTATCTACCGTACCTTGCTGCTGAAGAAGATTCCACCATAGGATGACAGTGACTTCTGGAGGTAGATTGACTGTTTCATAAAAGTTTTTTAGATGCTTTTTTGAACTCTTATCCAGTACTACTATTTGACAGTCTCCTGGATTTAAAACTTCCTGAGAAGTCTTTGAATCTGGTCACAGTATGTGACCTTCTGTAGTCATACTTAATGACTCTGGCTTATGCTGACTCTTCAACGGAATAGGTGGATATTATATAACAACAAAGGTGTTGCTTCTGAGACTGAGTGCTGTTCTGCTATTGGGCAGATTTGAAGGATACCCTTTCAAAATGTTTCTGGGCATTGCAGTCTTACACTATGTCGTGAGTTGGGGCACTCCTTTTAGAAAAGAAATCATCATGCCCATTAGTGCTCAGCAGCTGCAGGTCGCAGTGTTTTAGATCACAGGTGACGTGTTTTCAGTGCTTCTGCCACTGAAGTATTTTGAAGAAGTAGCATTATTCAGAGGATTCTTCCACAAGAGTTCTGTGATGTCAGTCAGAATTTAACTGATTTTCAGACTCTCTGAAGAAAACACAACAAAATGTTATCTCCTTGTGATTTGGAATTTCTACTGTTGTTAAACAGCAGGCTTACTGCAGGCTTCACTACAGAAGCTATCAGGCTGAGCTTGCCTGGTCTATCACTCGTCAGTGATCCTAACTTTGAGTGAAATACTGCTCACTGTTTCTGTTAGTGTATATCTAGGTTCTGGAGAAACAAGCAAGCAAAAAACCCTGTTATAAGATGAATTATATTATTCCATGCACTAGAACAGATTGCCCAAGGAGGCTGGGGATGCCCCATCCCTGGAGGCATTCAAGGGCAGGCTGGATGTGGCTCTGGGCAGCCTGGTCTGCTGGTTGGAGGCCCTGCACATAGCAGAGGGTTTGAAACTAGATGATCATTGTGGTCCTTTTCAACCCAGGCCATTCTATGATTATGTAGCTTAGTTTGGAGAAATAGTGCTTAGGCAGACCCTTCATGTTTCTCAGTGTTTATAGGATTAGGGTAAACTACTGTACTGATGTGGCAGTGGGTTATAGGAGCTAGAGTATTAAGTCAGGCAGCCCAGATAAAACTAGCAATGTTTTCAACATGCATTTAGGAGATGCTCTGTGTATCTAGACATAAACTTTTTCTAAGTGTACTAAGTAGTCTTGACTGCTCAGCTTGGCAAAGCGCAGTAGTACAAGCTGTTTCAACCTCATAGGTTTTGTAATATCTTCAATAGGTCCTGAATGAGACTTAGAAAGCATGCAACTTTTCAAGGCATAGTTTGAGACTGGAGAGAACATCAGTCCGTGCATTTTATGGTTTTTATGCTTTGCATCACTTCCTCCTTCTTCCATCACTTCCCTCTGGAGGGAACGCTAGTATTTGGGTCCATTCTGTATATGAATAATTGGCATTCACAGTATTGCAGCTAAACAATTCGTTTACAGACTTTTCCTCACTTTCCTTAGTAATTCAGGCAGCTGGTTCTGTATTCCTAATTCTCCTGTAAAGCAGTTACAATCTTGTAGCAGTAATTGCAAAAGAGAAGGTAGAAGGTGATTGCTGTCAGTCAGGCAAGATAAGTGAAAGTGAACAAGTGTGCAGTGTGCCAGAGAAAAAGAAGGGGGCAAGTTTAGTGAAACCAAATAAAAAGAAACAAACTGAGCAGCACAAGGGCAAGGTGAGGGAGGCAATATGCAATACCTTTTCTCAATTAAAAAAAAATAAATTCAAAGTTTGTATTAATATTGAAGACCTATCTAATTTGTTGTTCAGGCTGTCAGTCACAAGTCATCATAGTTGGTGCTTACTGAAAAAGAAAACTTTTATTCTGTGAGCAAGTGAAGGCTGTTCAAATGCAACTAGACTGGCTGGTAGAATAATGGGGAGAATGTCCCATGTAAGCTTCACAAAAAGGCTCCCTTCTGTGCTTCGGTTGCAGTGTTCAGCTGGAGGAGGATTTCCTAGAATTTCCTTTTTAGGAATTTAGGATTTCCTTCTGGTAAGGCACACGACTGTGAAGGAGCAGGGAAGTGACTGTTTCTCTGTAGTGATCATTTCTCTGGTGAGGCTGCACCTTGAGTCCTGTGTTTAGTTTTGTCCCCTTCACTACAAAAAAGTCGCTGAGGTTCTGGAGGGTGTCCAGAGAAGGGTAACAAAGCTGGTGAGGAGTTCGGAGCACAAGTCTTATGAGGATCTTATGGGGAGCAGCTGAGGGAGAGGTGATTGAGTCTGGAGAAGAGGAGGCTCAGGAAACCTTATCGCTTTCTACAACGACCTGAAAGGAGGTTGTGGTGAGGTGGGGGATTGGCCTCTTCTGTGTTAACTAGCAGTAGGATGAGAGGGAATGGACTTAAGTTGCACCAGGGGAGATTCAGATTGGATGTCAGTAATAATTTCTTCTCAGAAAGAGTGGTGATGCATTAGAATGAGCTGACTAGGAAAGTGGTTGGATTGCTGTCCCCAGAGGTGTTCAGGAAGCGTTTAGATGTTGTGCTGAGGTATGTGGATCAGTGTGGAAAATAGTGGTGGTACATGGGTGATTGGATTGGATGATCTTAGAGTTCTTTTCCAACCTTGATGATTGTTTGATTCTATGAAATTAGAGCAAGGTATAGAGTCCTTTCTGTTGTTGAGCATCAATCCCTTGTCAAATGGTAGAGGTAACACTGAGTATTCTCCTTGAATTGTATATTGTGTTTGTTTAAAAACAAATAGCAACGCAAAAATCCTACCAGAAAAAATAACCAAAGAGCGATGACTATGTTTATATAGCTATGGAATTTCAGAACTTATTGCCTTGTTTTAACTTTTAAATTAAACTCTTATGCATTAAAATAAGAAAAATAGCCTACTTTAAATTGCAATGTAAATTACTTGTATTGGAAGCACATCTTTAATATCTGTATTTTCAAGCACGTTATTTAAATCTTCTTTAAACATACGATTTAATAAAGTAAGGCTTTAACTAGCAATAAATGTGAAAAAGTCATATTTTACAAATTCATAGCAATAATTAGCTGATTTAGAGGTAAAATGACTTTTTTATACCATTTTGTGTTTTCTACCAATTTCCTTTAAGAACATTAAGTCCATCTGTATGATGGACTTAGAAATTGTACCAAGTGCTTTCACGATACATTTATTAGGCAGGTTCTGCTACTGAGCACAAGTGAAAAAGCTGTAGTCTCCATATTAGTTGTTTACAACTTTGAGTTTGGGAATTTGGAGACAATTGATCTGCCACACAGCCTTCATTCTTACTGATATGTCATATTTCTGAAGTCATGTGGTTGTATTGGAAAGTCTTGTATACTGTCTCTGTGGTGAAATGGTAAGACTACACAGAGTCAGGGACAAGTTTAGAATGATGAACAAGAGGGGGGGGAAAAGGAGAAAAATGATTAACAAATTAAAAATAGTAAGTGAATTCTTTCTACATCTTCAAAATAATGGAAGTTTATCTTCCTAATTAGTAAAGGAACATTGGGCTAGTTTCTCCATCAGGTGCATATAATGACAACAAAGCTTTCTTAAACAAAAAGGAACTTTGTAATTAGATGTCCCAGGCACTTAAAACAAACAAACAAGCAAACAAAAAACAAACACTGAAAATGCTTTGACTTTTGGCCCTTTTATTTTTGACTTTTGGTTCTCATTTTTTTTAGACCAATAAATGATGTAAGTTGTATCTTGTCAAAATCACAAATGAAGTCAGATTGCCTGCCAGTGCTGCCCAAAATCTTTAATAGCTCATGGGAAAAGCACTGTGTACATATACTGAGAAGGCTAAGGATAAATCACAGTAAGATGTATCAACTACAGTGGCTTTAAAAATATGCATAGCACTGCACAGAGGGAAAATTCTCTTATCACAAAGAATCTGATATTTGACTGAGGGCTACTTCTCAGGCCTGCTCCTATTCTTACAGCTCAGGTAGTTTCTCATGGTGCATGCAATATGTGGGTCTTCCAACTCCAGTTCTGCTAGCAAAGAAATCCGATTTTGAGGTTGAGACAAACATTTGGCATCATATGCAGTCAGAAGGTAATCATAGTCATGCATTCCATGTATTTCAAATGATGTCAGCAGTGACACAATCCTGATATTTACCATTTTCCTATAGCTCAAGAATAAGCACCCAAGGATTTTTACAATATGCCAGAAGAGATTTGTCCCAGATTTGTGAAGTTATATTTTATCTGTTCATCCTGTTGTGTGTTTTCTCTAACAGGAAACTGTGGGCCATACATGCTATGGCTGACTGTATAACTGAGATTACGTCTGAATGTTTCTTCCTGAAACTCTTTCTTTCTTTCATGTGTGGTTAGATTTATAAAAATTCGAATTTGCTTTGTAGGTGGGCAGGAAACTGCAGTAACTGAAGTCATGGCAACTTCACATCATAACAGCCAACAGTATTTTCAGGGATGTCCACAGCAACAGAAGACTGCTCTCCCCTGCCCATGCCATCATGGAAACCAGCCTCAATAAATGCAGAGAAATGCTGCTGCTCCAGAATTATATGCAAGATGTAGCTGATGTTTTCATCGTGTGTAAGTCTCGTTTCTGTTGTGTATGTATATTGAACACTACTG